AAGGACACATCCCTGCTCCAAGCATGTGTTGTAATTCACATCTCCCAGCCTTCACTGGACACTGAGGCTGACCAGTGCCTCTGCCCAGTCACACTCCCCCTGGTGGAAAGAAACAACGAGAGTCAGCTGTTACATGAGGCTCTCTGCAGTGGATGTGTGTACTAGGAGGTAATAAGTTACTCCTAAATGAAAGAGAATAAACAAGGTTGTAACGACAGATTTAGGAAGCCTGTGGCTTGTATATGTGAGGATCATCACTCACAGTGGCATCTCGCAATTCACCTTTGACCCCCCCAATTCTTTTACACAGGACATGACTCAGTCCTGGCCATCCCAGCAAGCCTTAGAGGGTGACCAGGCTCAGCGAATCCTTTACAACTCGAAGGTATGATTGTGTGGCTACTTTAGATTCCACTAGAATAACGCACCCCACTCCTCAACTGAGCTGTATATGGTCAAGTTGCATGTTGGGAAGTGTAGTTTGAGAAGGAAGAAGAACGTACAGAACAGAATGAAAAGATGATTTTTTTTTCTGTCCATTATCAACCTGAAAACTTTATACTGTAGCTGTGGATGGTTTTATCAATGCAGGTAAAGATTTTACACCTTAATTTTTTCTCTTCCTTTGTCCTAAGGATACAAAACAACTGAATACACAGCAAAGGCAAAGTAAGTGTTCACTGATTAATAAGCTTGTACAGCTGATACATGCAATAATTTACAGTTGGTTCACTATAAAATGGTTAATATATGAATGGTTGCATGTTTTTATACAGTACATGTTTTCTCCTTCTCTCAGGTCGAGGAGGTGTTCAGCTGCGGATGACCCGTCATCCTCACGTGGCACCTCACAAATCGTAAGCGAGGCACGGGGAAACATGATCCACCAAATGTCATCAAGGCTGGACTGCAACACACAGAGACAATAAAATACATCCTCTCATCACATAATACATGTGTTCTCCTGAGCAGGTTTTGAAATGTTTGATCATGAATATTCTCATCTATTCAGCAAAAAGAAAAGGCGTTAATGACAGAGAAAGAGAGTGAAGAGAAGTAGGCATACAGTATAGAGTCAGTCAATACCGTATTTCAGGCTAAAGGCCAAAGGTCAGGTCAAAGATCGGCTAACATTCTTGACAATGTCAGTGGAGACTGATGTGCTCCCGTTTGGTAATGTTTTACAGCCTCTTTTTAATGTGAAGCATGTGTTCAGTGTAGTTAGGCAGTATGCCTCACATTATCACTCAGCCTTTGTCATGTAACAGCTGTTTTATGACTGTTTTAAAAATATTTGGAAAAGTTCTTATTTTCCAAAATGTTTGAGCACTTTTTGCATTTTAACTTAGATGTGATTACTTATATGTATTCTATATATCAGTAAGACAGTAAATCAGCACAGTGCATGGACAAGATATGGACATTTGAGTAAGGTCACATTACTACATGAGGAATATGACTTAAGACATTTAAAGCAAAATTGGTTATTGTTTTAGAAATGATATAGATTTGGAAATCTAGGGTCTTGAAATATAACTGGTTTGCGAGTTTAGTCTGACATAAAGATAAACCATGTTCTACCATATCTTAACAGCGGATAAGGTGTATAAATATGTTACACATGTTAAGATGCATGAGGTATCACACATAATGTGACCTCTCCACATCAGTTTTTTTTTTTTTTTGGTCAACATCATAAAAAACCTGCATTTACGCTATCATTCTTTCAGTGTACTCAGGTTTTACATTTGAGAAAAAGAGAGAATTTGATTTGGATCACTACTCTGTATCAATCAATAACTTGGTCAGTAGTGGGTGAGAAAAAAAATGTACTCAGTGCATCGCTATTGAAAGCAGCAGTGATTTAACAGTGTATCATTTTTCTGACTTTGTGTTTGTTTGTTTACAGCATGCTTGCTGATGACCTGAAGCTGAGCAGTGATGACGATGACACTCATAAGGTAATTGCATCTTTTCCTGCAACCAAGAAAACAAAACACTATGTTTTAAAGTGACAGTAGTCATTTTTGACATAAGCTGGTCTTCATGCTGTTGTGTGTTCTTGAGAAGGCAGACAGATAATGCAAGAGAGCATGAGAGGGAAGAGAAAGGAAAAGTGTCAAAGAAAGTAAAAGATTAAGGCTGGAGTGTTTGGCAGCTCCTGTTGAAGGATGCCTGTTTCTCTGGCAGTGTTTAATGATGTGCTCACACAGCCATTGTGTTAAGAATTGTTTCCTTTTCTGTTGCTTAATCACATACAGACATCAAGCACCGGAGGAAATAAATCAGTCGTAGTTTAAGCTGTTCACTGCACTGCTGCTGTGGGTGACTGTCAGGTTTGGCGTGTACAGATGCCAAACAGAGGTTGTGGTGAACTCAATTAGAAAACCAGACGAACCGAGGTAGCGACAAGTTCTTTACTTGTTGTAAGCAAAACAACTAACACAAAGTCCAGGATCTCAATCAGGTTGATAAGACAGTCCAGGGTTGGTGCCGGTAAACAGGTATAGCCAGGGGATCCAAACTTGGGGTCAGGGTCAAGAGGGACAAAAGGTCGATACACAGCAGGCGATCAGAATGTGGGAGGGCATAGACAAAACATGGTGGTCAAAAAACAGTAATCCAGGGTCAGAAATAGAGAGTCAGGCAAGGTATAAGGCTGGAGAGTCAGAGCTGGGGTCTAGAACAATCTGGCAGCATCCTGGTGGGAGGACGCTGCCTAAATAGAAGTAAAAAACAGGTGCAAACAATAAGAAGCAGGTGAACTAATGATGATTAAATAAAAGGGCCAAAACTGAGGTGAAACAAAACAGGAAGTAATGTGAAAATAAAAGCATGACAGGAAGCAAGAGGGGCAGGAGCGTGACAGGTGACAAGTTTCTGTTTTTTGTTTTGTGTCCCCGAAGGTCAATCATGAGTCAGCTTCCTGGGACAGACAGAGGTACTCCATTACACATATCATGTATACATAACATTAGCTTTTTCAGGAGGGTTTGTCTTTGAACATAAGTTAAACCATGTGTGCCATGAGTAACAACCATATTTGTCTGTCTGTGGGTGTGCGCTCCACTCGACTGTGTACCTACACCGACCCCCACTCTGATGTTTGTGTGTGTGTGTTGACTGACAGCCTGTCAGTGCAGCGAGCGCACACACATGGCAGGCGGGTGAGACATTCCAGTTCAGACTCTTCAGACTCCGACTCCACTGCTGAGTCGGGAAGCAGTAGCCTTCATTCCCGGAGCCTGAGCCCAGAGGTTCACCCAGAACCCGAATCACCTGCCAACACGCAGCCACCGTGCAACAACAAGGAGGTACTAATACTGAGCCACAACATGCTGTCTACTGTCTGCTCTGTCTTTTCTCTGTCCATGTCTCGCTTGTCTTTCTTCCTCTTGTTGTGCGCCTTTGGGTGAACTGTTCACAGGGAGTGGTGGGCTCCAGGCAGTTGACTGCATGTGTGGGGAGGGACAGAGAAATGAGGAATGCATGTGAGTTGGTGGAGGCGCAACAGGATGGGGGTTTGAGGGGCAGAAGTAGGTTTGGGAATTAGTGCCTGGGTGCCATGTCAACAGGCTGAATCTTAAGAGGAAAGCCCTCAGGAGGTGTAAGTCAAAAAGACTCGAGTCATGTCATCTGCAACTACACTTGCACTCTTTTTCAAGACAGAGGTGCAAGAGAGAATATGGCTGACTTGCGCTTTTTATTATTTTAGAAAAATACTGAATGGGTGATTTTAGTGCAGAGCATGCTAGGTATGATGGGCTGCTGGAGGTGAAGGGCATTGTGGGGGTTGGTTTGATACAAGTACAATGTGGGGAATGAAGGGGAAACCTGCTCCTCTTTTATGAATGGAAGGCCCTGTACCACATAGCAGACTGTATTACTAAACTACACTACATTGGGCCCCTACTAAGAGGCAGGGAGTGGAGCATGTGGTTGGGGGGGTACACAACATATGTTTTTAATTTACGTGGAGTGTTTGAGGTCTCCTAGGGAAGATATGGGGGTTGGAGTTGTGAAAGCAGCAAATCCAGAGTTCCAGGTAGTGAGAGAAAGAGGGAGGGACAGAAAAGAAGGAGGGAGGGCAGCCGAGTCGGCACAAGAGACGCAGTGTCTTTGGAAAGAGGGTGAGGGATGCTGGGGTGGGGGGGGCACTGTTTGAGGAGTAGAGGTTTAATATAGCTCACAGAGAAAAACAGGACGCAAGAACGAGAGAAAGAAGTGAGTATTCACTTTGGTTTTTTTGTTTTGTTTTGTTTTTTTAGTAAAAACTCCTGCTCTTTCTTAAAGTTACAGAGCCAGTTGTTAGGCAAACATTAAGTGAGTCACTTGACATAAGTGAATGGGGGTTGAGCTACTGTAAGCACAGATGGGGAATGTGAAACTATGCTGTAAGTAAGCTAATTAAAGATTATAATATCAGTTGAAGTTTTTATTAAACTAAGGGTTTCTCAACATGAATCATAATCTAGATATTTCATTTGGAGTTTCGCTAGTCAGTGAGGTATTTGTTATGTGCAGCAAATTTAATGCATTTTACAGGGCTCTGTTGGAATATTCAGATGGCAGATGGTTAATTGTAATGCTAAGTGATCCTACATTCACTACTTGCAATTAGTTATCTCTTAACTAGCACATGAAAAGGCATGTACAATGGTGGAATGTAAGAAAGTATAATTACTCACATACTGTACATAACTGCAATTTTTGAGGTACTTGTACTTGACTTATTTCCATGTTCTGCTACGTCATACGTACTTCACTACATTTATATTTACAGTAAGTCCTTATTGTTAGCATGTTACTAGTTACTCTATCAAATGCTCCACCTTTGAAAATATGGTGCATATGTACAGTATGTTCCCTGTAACAAATTCCTTCTTATCACGTGATGTTAGTGTATAGCTGAGGTGTAAAAAATCTACAGTGCAGTAAGAATATTTTGGTCACTTTTTTTAGTCCAAATCAGTTTGTTTCCCGTAGGTTCTTAAATCAAGTGTCGGTTTTCATAATTTTACTACAGACACACACCTTATACTTTCTTTTTTATGATTCAGTCACATCTTTAGACAGGTTCATTTGAATTGAAAACAAGCGGACATACTCTTATTGCACCAAAAGTTGTTTTTTTTTCTGTAACCAGCTATAGATGGAATTATTTTTATAATACTGAGACTTTTGAATTGTTAGAGACTGAAATAACTAGCAGTAAAGTATATGAAGTAGGTAAACTTAGATGTGATTCAATCAGTTTCAGCAGTAAAATGCTATGTACAAATCATCAGTAACAATACTCCAGTAACATAAAATATAAGTAAATATAAAACTATGAAATGGAACATTGGTCTGTACTTTTATTTTTAATAGTTTTAAATGTGTTTTTTTGGAAGGATTTTTAATGTGGGACTAAGTTTTTCCACCACTGCGAGTGTGCGTTGAAAGCCTGAGTGTTAGCAAAGATTGATTTTAAAGTGAACTAGTTTACAATTATTTTGTCATTTGTGTCTCTCTCATTTTCTGTGCTTTCTTAAGACTAATCACCCCTCTGCTGCCCAGTGGCAGTTGGATAAATGGCTGAAGAAATCTCGGAAAAAATCAGCCAGCAGTGAACAGGATCCTTCCCAAGGCGTTCCAGGTCACCTGCCCTCTCCCCACATCCAGCAAGCTCCATCTCCAGCCAGGGCCTGGGACAGCAATCAGGAATACAGCCCCAGCCAAAGCCCTATTCCCAGCCCACAGTTTAATTACAGCCACAACAATAGTCCCCTACCTAGCCCTGGTTACAGCTACTGCCCTAGCCCCAGCCCATTCACCAGTACCTGTCCAAGTCCCACCCCTAGCCCGAGGCATAGCCCGGTCCCCAGTCCAGTTTTAAGTGTTTGTCCTAGTCCGTATGGGAGCCCAAGCGCCAGCCTTAGCCCTAGCCCTTTACTTAGAGATCCTCCAAGAAGCCCAAGTCCCAGCCTACCTCCTCGTTACAGGGTTCATCACTACCCTGAACTTCTGAGTCAGAACCAAAAACAACCTGGTCAAACAGCCATTCCCCACAGGACCAAAATTAGGTCATGGATTAACACTGACACCAAGAACAAGCATACAAATAGTACTCATCCTCAGCCAACTCATCATTATAGGCCCAAGGCTCGACCCACACAGAACCAAGACCAAAGCCAATCCAAGGCTTCTACTGCTTTAAACTCTCACCAGGGTCAGAGCCACAAATCGAGACCCAAGTCTAACTTTCCTACAAATTCTAAACAGACCTCTGACATCCCCAAAGTTAAACACACCTCACATTTAGAGCAAATCCAGGGTAGCAGATCCAACCACAAGCCCAGGCCTCAGTTTCAACCTAGCTCACAACATAGCCCCACAAGAGCAAAGCACTTAGCTCCTACTAGTCGTGAAACCAAAACTGGTCACAGTTCTGATTCCCAGGCTGCCTCTAAAGCTGCTAGTAATTCTAGTGCTGGGTTGAACTCCAGGTCTAGTCCTGGTCTAAAACCTAGGGTCAAATCATGGGAGGCTACAGCACCAACTCCTGTGCATGTTAATCAGACAAAAACGTTGCAGAAGAAGCCCCAAACCAAGGAACAGGAGGTGGACCACAGAGGAAATCATCTGACCCAATCAGAGGGGAGAAAACCTGAGAGAAAAGAGGACAGACAGAAGGAAAAACAACAAGGAAAACAGGAGAGAAAGGAAGACAGGAGGCTGGCGGAGGAGCAGCTTCTGAGACATCCCTGGATCCAGAGTTCAGAGGAAGAAGAGGGGGAAGAAGAGGAGGAAGAGAGACCAGTAGAGAGGCAGAGGAGGAGAGAGGAGACAACAAGAGGGGAAAACAGGAGGAGCAGGGAGCAGCAACCTAGACGTGAATGGCAAACAGTCCAGGCCAAACAGAGACCGCCTACCAACGTCGAGCGGCACCACCTGCAGGACGACTCACACCACCAGGGGAGGGCAAAAAAGGGAGGCAGAACTGAGGAGGAGAGGGAGTTACAACCAGACTCTTCACCTCCTCTGTCACATTCTCCAACTCCTCATACACCATCCTCCTCATCCTCTGCCTCTTGCTCTTCAAATTCAGATTCAGAATCTGAATATCAGGCTTTGATCACCAAAGTTTCAGCAGACTCTACCTCCCACAAGAGACTCACCAAGAGAGGGCAACAAGGCCCAGGCAGACCTGATGCCAACAAGCCGAAGGCAGTGCACCCTAGAGGACCCATCTCATGTAATCCAAGTGATGGGCAGCAGAATGAGGGGAAGCAAAAACTCTACACCTTAGTCCCATTTGGGCGAGGTGACCAGACTACAGTGTATTCCCAGCGAGGTCTTAGAAATCTGGTGGTGCAAATAGACCTCTGTCTTCTCAAAAGGGTCCCAGACAGCACTACTAATTCTACAGTTAAGCCTCCACCCTCTTCCTCCTGCTCTTCATCAACCAAGGACAAGCAAAGAGAGGCTATGAAACACCTTGCTGCATCTGAGAGCGTGACAATAGACAGCAAAAGGAAGCGCAAGGTAAACCACACGCACTAAATGTTTATTTTTTCTCTGTTGAATGTGATGTGTAACTATAGATGTTTTGTGAATGAATATGAGGCAGAAAGCAGCAGTGTAGGCTTGTTTTTTTAAAGCATATGTATGTTTGTGTGCGGCCAGTTGGAGAACGAGGTGTCACACAGACAAAGTAAGAGGAGTCTTCCTAGTGCAGGTGACCTCTCAGCCCGTACAGAGTCTTCAGCTCACACAGCTGAGCACAACTTTGTGACTGAGACCACACACAATGGGTAAGAAAACACTACACATCATTTTGTCTGTGTATATGCAATAATACTGTATGCACAAATCCAATCAATCAATCCCATATTATGTGTGTGCACGTGTGTTTGTGTGCACCTGCAGGTACTTGGAGGAGTACTTAGACAGCAAGAGGCCGTTGTCTCCCCTGTCTCCTCTGTCCGACAGCCCCGCGACCACCAAGCCTCCCTCCAAAACAAAGACTTCAGAGCAGCACCACATCCACGCTCACAAGCACAAAGACAAGAACAGAGATTCTGCTGTGAAGGTAATACAAAGCAAATACTTGTTTAGATCATCCTAAAGCAATTGCTTGCAACATTTTGGTTTAATTCACCTTTTTTTAACCTGTACACTCAGCCCAAGATGGAGGTGGAATGTGTAAAAGTGTCGAAACAGTCCCAACTACCCTCCGAGTCCTGGGGCCCTACAGGACACAGGGGGACCGTGCCTAACCATGAAACGTGAGCAGTCATATGTACTCTACGCCATGCTCCGATGGCTGCCAGATAAGGACTCAGCAGACATATCGTTGATGTGACTTCCTGATGACATAATACACTGTGACTGAACTGTGTTTTTGTTCATCTTCCTAGTCCACATCATGCTGAGTACTACTTACATGAAGCCAAAAGGATGAAACACCGTGCTGATGCAATGGTGAGACCTCAATCTTTCATAGGATATAAACTGTTGGCAGTGAAGAAAAACTGGGACGTTGTACAACCATTGAAGGATAACTTGGACATTTTAGGACATACAGTTTTTTACTTATTGGAAGAAGATGAGAGGTTTTGCAACAGTGTCAAACAACTGTACACTGCATACTGTACATGCAGCCTATACATTGTGCCTTGGTGAACTAGAAGCCCTGTGTCAACTGACCTACAATTTTTGAGCCCAGAGAGATATTGTGAGCTTTAAACAGAGATGTAAAAACAAAGTAAATTCTGTAAATAGTTTTAGATCGATCAGTGAGGAGGACACTGCATTACTCTAACAAACAAATGGTAAATCCATGTATATGTTTTTGCATACTCTTCAGACAAAAACTCTCCTATTCTAGGTTATTTTCCATCCATCCATCCAATATCTGCACACAGTTGAAGACCTTCCCATGCTAATTTCTGCTTGTTGTAGTTATTTAATATTTACTCCCATATTTGCCTATGTTGGATATTGTTTTCCAGGTGGACAAGCTGGGGAAGGCTGTGAATTACGTTGACGCTGCTCTCTCCTTCATGGAATGTGGGAAAGCAATGGAGGAAGGGCCACTCGAGGCCAAATCTCCTTACACCATGTACTCAGAGACAGTGGAGCTCATCAGGTGAACCACACATTCATGCAAAAACAGATAGAAGCGATTTGGATTTGGAGACAGAGACAAATAGACACCCACATACACATACAGTACATATACATGAACTGCAGGTCCATTGCTAACAGTCCTGTCTTAAAGGTATGCAATGAAGCTGAAGAGCCACTGTGGCCCTGGAGCGAGGCAGGAAGACAAACAGCTGGCAGTACTATGGTGCGTATGTCATCTCCTCTGTTTATACAACATCTATCATCACGCCGAAGGACCTGCATTTTGAGTCTGATCTGTGGTCCATTTGAATCTCTTTGACTTGCTCTTGTGTTCACAGTTTCCGGTGCCTTGCCCTACTATACTGGCAAATGTTTCGTTTAAAGAAGGATCACGCACTGAAATACTCCAAAGTGCTACTGGACTATTTTAAGGTAAAAACAACAGACATTTGCATAGATTTCTAGACAGCATTTGGTAAAATGTAAACATCTGGACTGGATAGTCTTTAAACTTGATTATGGTGTCATTACAGAGTTCTCCCAAAGTGCCTACAACACCACCCTGTTGGAATGACTCTGGAAAGTAGGTGGATTACTATATTATTATGTATTACTTTAATCAACTTTTGAAGCTTTATTGATCACTATCACTCTGCTGTACACTCCCAGGGGTACAGGAGGACCTGCGTCTTCGCTCTCACCCAATGCCAAATACCAAGGACGAGGTTCACATGGGGGCAGCAGCGCCCCCTCTCTCATAAGCATTCCCCAACGTATCCACCAGATGGCAGCAAATCACCTGAACATCACCAATAGTGTCCTGTACAGCTATGAGTACTGGGAGGTGGCAGACAACCTTGCAAAGGAGAATAAAGGTACTTGTGGTGGAAATTGTATTCCTAACAGATTTTCATCAAAAGGTTGCATTAAAAAATGTAGATTGATTTTTAGATTTTTTTTTAAAGAGCAGTCTTTTTCTTTCTCACTACAGAATTCTTCAACTACTTGAATACTTTGTCTGGGCCTTTGACTCTTCACAGCAGCATTGCTCATGCGGTCCAGTACACCAGACAGGCTCTTCAGTGGATACGCATTAGTGCCAAACTTAACTAAGAAGGAGAGGATTTACCTTAACCTGCCCACTGGATCTCCAGGCTGCATTTTTCATAGAAGAGACCGCTGGATCTCTATGCAGCTAACAGGACAGCACTGATGCCTACTGTGCTGTGTGAAATGGAGTTGGATAAAATCCCACAGGGACTGACATTTGTCATCCTCATAGGATGTTGAGGTGCTGTCAATCTGGGCCTTCTTAAGGAGCTAACATTAAACTTCTCAGTGATTATCAACATGCACCTTCTTCCTCATCATTGGATTAATCAGAAGAATTGTGTGCACTGTCGATGATTGAAGTCTCAAATCATTTGCCAAATGTCCCTAGGACCTCAAAGAACTCATATTCAGTAGCATTTGCAAATTCATGTGCAAAGCCTTTTTCATTCTTTGGAATTAACCATTACCCTATGGCCTGATTCTCTGGGGCCAAAACAGGAGAAGATGCTATAAAAGACCAAACAATCATTTACCACTTCCTCCATTGTAGAAAACATGTCTGCATCTTTTGCTAAGGAAGGTTTTCATAACTCTTGCTTTTCAAATCTTTATCTTCAGTTTTATGTGTTTTTACTGTGCAATATTTGAAGAAAATACAAGAAAATAAAATGTTGGTGAGTAGATGCCAACATTCAAGGTTGCATAATGTATTTTGTCCCTGTTTTTAGTTTGGGGGTATGCAGTTGAATGAAAATGAAGTTGATCATTCAGATGTGTTTTTGGTAAGTTTACTGTCAGGAGAATTCCAGTTTCTATGAAAGTGCATTTCATTCCAAGCAGCACAAACCTGCAGGTTTGAGGCATAAGGACAAATTGTACTTGCTACTACTTACTTTTCTCAGTGTGTCTTTTATTTCATTGTATTGATCATAAGATCATAACTTTAATGGCAGTGCTTTTTTTTTTTCAAAAAATTCATTCATCAGCATAGTGATGCAAATTTGTGACAGAGTTGTTTCTCTGGCTTTATTGCTCATACACAAGCATCTATAGGCGCACACACTCTAAGTGACAATGTATGAGTCAGACTCATTGGTCAGGCCAGTTGCCTCACACAAACAGTCACACACATCACTTCCTTTGGCTCCCAATTACTGCAACTAGCCTATACTTCCTGCTGCATCAATACGGAAGTCACACATGTCTGGTACCATAGCAACAGAGAACAACCAATAAGGGTGCACCCCAGGACACACACACACACACAAACATACACAAAGGCTTGGGTCAATAGCATCCTTTAATTTTGTGGATGAGGTTGTTGCAAGCTAATCCAACACCAGACTAAATGTTTTATTGTCCTAGACTGTGGTCTGGTTTTTTGACAGTCCTGTGGCTGCCATAAAGGTGCAGCCAAGTTGTCTAAATCAACCAGTTTCTTTGTGTCCTATGGATATTTATAGTTATTGACCCCAAAAAGGCAGTCCATCAGCTGACTTTGAACAGAGGCTACCTTTCTTCCATTCTTTGGCTTTTATCATCTGACCTCATTTCACTGAATGGTAATTGAATCAATTAATTGCAGTGCTGACTAAAATGGTCTTATACTTGTATAGCGCCTTTCTACGCTTTTACAGCACACTCAAAGCGCGTTCACATTATTCGGCCATTCGCACTCCCAAGCACTCACGCACCGGTGACATCACCGGGAGCAACTGGGGGTTCAGTGTCTTGCTCAAGGACACCTCGACATGTTGACTGGACAAGCCGGGAATCGAACCGCTAATCCTCCGGTTAGAAAACGACCCGCTCTACCTCCTGAGCCACAGCCGCCCCCGTGGAGATGGACAGCAGCCGTGACATTAGAAGCTAATGTGCTGTTTTAATGATCCTGTCTCAACGTACAGGAGTTGCCGAGTTGTCACTGCCTCCATGTGAGCGGACCACCATCTCCACAGCCTGCGCTGCTGGCTCGTTCCGCATGCACGTGCCTCTGCGTCACGGCCGTTAACTGCCTGTGCGCCTGGACGAGTCGGAGCCAGACTGCACACACACCAGAAGGGGAAAACACATTAGACTGCTCTTAACCGCAGAGCAGACAGTTTGGGCACATTAGAGTAGCCCTGTTCACAAACCTCCTAATATAAGCCACAGAAACCATTTTCAAAGGCGAACAATCTGTCAGAGTGCGATAAGCGGCGGCTAACTCATTTCAACATCAAATAGCTTCACACAAAGGGTTCAGGTGTTCGTGTCTAACCTGGTGATTAAACCGGTGGGAAAGTGTCAGAGTGGGTGGTTTCAAACTGTACGGAGCTTCCATGAGCTGTGAGACATTCAGTTCGTTTGACATGTGCTCTACTGTCCGCATAGTGGCAGTATTGCAAACAAACTTGAAGCTAAAAACAAGAACCTGGGAATGAGCTGGATCAAGATAACCAAGAAAACCGGAAGTTAAGCGTGTTTTGTCTTTCAAAAATGCTAGTAAAAAATTTAGTTTTTGTTAAAACACAAAACCATCATAATATAAATAATGAATAGTTAAAGTGTAAGTATGATAAAATCTTATTTGTATTATTGGAATACAGTACTTAACATAATATATTGTGACGACCGCTGGCTCGGTTGAGAGGAGCTGGCCTGACCCTGTCCTATACCTGACAGTTAACTAGCCAGCACTGTGCCGGCACCTGGCTCAACAAGGAGGAGAACACCTGGTTTGTCTTTTTGTGGTTTTATTGAACGCAGTATGGAGACAAATGAAAACGCTGTCCGAACTGGCACCATGTGCTCTCTCAAGAAAATAATAAAAGAATAAACAACACATCTCCCAGAACTTCACCATCGCCCGCCAACAGAACCAAACCAACACGCCCACCTGTCATCCCTCTTATACCTTCCCACACCTGTTCCTCCCCCATCCCACATTGGCCAGAACAGCGCGGCATTTTGCAGAAAACAGCGGTAACCAATACATGCACAGCTTTCAACAACAGTGTCAAACCCATTTGCACACAACAGAACACACGAACATTAGCGGCCGGTCAGGGTCGCCACAATATTACAATATTTTATTGACTTGTTTCAACACTAGACTATAATTTTCGAAACTATCAATCATACACTGTAGAATAACAATACTACTACTAATAATAATAATAATAAGGGAGAGCAAGATGGGGAATAAGATATGATCACATAAAAATCCGATGGTATCTTGAGCATTTCATGGAATATTTGTTTTCTGATATCCACAGCTGTAAACAGATCACCAAGATTAGCATTTTGTTAAGGCATCTCACTTTGTGACTAAAGAATTTTCCAAGGGTAATTTAAAGGTCATCAGTCCATTACTAATGTGTTATTAATAAGAAAATAATTGTCCGATATACTGAAATTAAAAAATAGTAGTTGGTTGCTTTACGGTGCTTCAGTGATGGAGTAATAGTGCTTTGCCCAAGGTTTTACTACTAAAAACAGATAGAACACAATTGTACAGCAAATAACCACAATATAACCATTCAGGTCTTGATATAAGATTCCTCTGGGGCCCTAAGATGGAGTGTTATAGCCCAACATTTTCTCACAGCTTCTATCGCAGTCGAATCAACACATTCGCACAACTCTACAAAATGCTCACGTATCATTGTGTGTTTTATTTTGAAATTTTTATCCGGAACCACTATGTTTGGCCATATCCGCTTCACACTCGCTGAGCGAAGAGAAAGCAAAGCGATCAGGCGGTAGAAATGGAGAGCAGAAGGGCTGGGAGGGTGAGCGAAAATGTTGTAGAGACATGGCGTGGCAGCATGACAGAATAAAGGGATTTCAATTCTCTTGAAGGAGTTCTCTGTAGCAATACGAGGCTGAGGAGCCCAGCTAAGTGTCTGGAGGATTTTCATTTCGATTTGCTTTGGTCTTATCTCGGTTAATCAGTTAACACATAACGTTTGTGGTGGGCAGGATCTGCAGAGAGAAGTCTGCAGCTAACAGTCCAGACTGACAGGATAAAAGGTAAACGCAAGTGACTTCTGTTAGCGAACAACCACCCAGGACTGTTGTTTGTTTACATTCGTGATAACACCGCACTGAAGTTGCATAGTCATATACGTTATCCATTGTTTGGTAGCTCATTCCGACAGCATTGACAATTTTGGCGAGTGTATGCAGCACGCTTTTGTTTGTATTTTTGTTCGTTTGAACTGACATGATGTTAGTATCGTGGCGCGGGCGCAGCGACATGCGTGAGCTAAGCATCGTTTAGAGTAGCTAGGCTAATGTTAGCATGAAAGAGGTGCCACATGGGGCTCTGCTGTAGCCTTGGCTACCTGTCAGTGGTAGAGTATCTGTCCGGGCATGCCCTTGGACACAAACATTTAACCCCCGAAGGAATACATCCGGTATCAAAACATTTGTGTTGAATTAACACTTCATATCAAAACGGCTATAAATGTTAGTTGTGACCAGTGTCACTGCTTGTCGGTGATCACTTAGGAATTGTTGACTTCCCCAAATGTTATAGTGTAATCTTTTATCAGTGGGTTGGTAAATCTGGGTAGTGTTGTCATCCAACGGTGTCATTTCAGGATGTATGGAAAGCTATGTGTTTGCATCATAAACACATAACTATATTTTCTTCTAATAAAATTATTGACCTGTTCAGTTAACTTAAGCACCAAGTCTGTGCAGCATGGTGTCTGAGCCCAGCTTCAACTTGTATGGTTCAGTGTGGCTGAATATCTCCTGTGCTTTCAGGTAGCTCAGTATGAGTCGAGATGGGTGGGCAAGGAAGAGAGCCAATGCCAGTGATGACGGTGGTTGGGCTGAAAGGGTGAGTATCACTCAGGTCATTATAACCAACATTTTAGTGTACAAACTAGCCCAGTATGAAGACAGTGTGCCTGGAAAAAGTAGAAATACAGTCAACAATAGACAGTTAGATACAGACAGGTGACAAATTAAAGGAAAAAAAAACAATAGTATGGTGTTTGGCCACCCACCACGTGCCACCAGAATAGTTTCAGTGCACCTTGGCATTGATTCTGTGACTAGTGGAGGAATGAACACCATTCTTCCCAACAATACTGCCTCATTTGGTATTTTGATGATGGTGGAGTAGAATCACCATATAACCTAGACATTAAGTAGACAAGAACTCTGTAAGTGTCTTAAAATGGTATTTTTAAGCCACACAGTAGCAGCATGTATGCATCTTTTAAATGTCATGCACACTAATAGGTTCTGGATAGTTTGTAAAGGAGAATCCACATAAGAACTCAGGTTTGTTATCCGCGCAGATTAAGTTGTCAGAAAGGTAAATGATAGCAAGACAAACATATTACAATATGAAGACAAAGTACTGTAATACTGGTACCAACATAACAGAACTATGTATGTATTGAATGACCAAATGTCAATTTTTCATAGTATGTAAGCCTAATATACTATGTGTCAGGAACATGCTCAAATTCTGTATGTGGCATGTAGTTGTGAATGATCTATGACTATGATTCGTCTTCATACGGGCAGGGTGGCTACATGGCTGCCAAAGTCTCCAAGCTGGACGAGCAGTTTAAACTTGCTGCCCCCAGGGAAAAACAGAAGGAAGGCACATGGTCCAACATCTTCAGTGGAGTAGCCATTTATGTCAATGGATACACAGGTAGTATGATATTACAAACCATGTTTTACAAAAATTGAAATAGTAAATGATGGGTGGACAGAGCTTTTTTTTTTGTCTTACTGTTTTATTTTTGGCCCGTTTGTGCACAGAACCAAGTGCAGATGAGCTACGCAGACTGATGATGCTGCACGGTGGGCAGTTCCATGTCTACTACTCTCGCTCCAAGACCACCCACATCATTGCCAGTAACTTGCCCAACAGCAAAATTCAGGAGCTCAAAGGGGAAAAGGTCATCAGGCCAGAGTGGATCACAGACAGGTGTGTTCAGTGGGAGTCGATTATATCTACATTATGTTGTACAACATTAGCTAAAAATCTTTGTGTTAACATCTCATTTATCTAAAACAGCATCAAGGCTGGGTGTCTCCTGCCTTACCTACAGTACCAGCTGTACGCAAAACAGAAAGGCACACTCTTCCCTGGCATAAATCTACAACAGACCTCAGAGATTGCAAGCCTGAGCCACAGGCCACTGCAGGCGAGCATCCATCAAAAGCTTCACCTGCCACAGCGCAACATTCAGCACTCTGTTCCCAACGATGAGCAGTCGTCATGCAGCTACCAAAGCAACAATCAACTTCAATCTATCCAGCACAGCTCTGCAGCTCGTCTCAGCAACCGACCAAGTCACTTAGCATCCAGTCACCTCAGTATAGCTCCCAGACACAGAAGCCCTTCACATACCTACCTGGTGTGTAACTCAAGCTCCACAATGCCCCCACAGCCTACTCCACAAACACCTCATCTTAATCTCCAGCATCAGAGAGCTGACCAACCACAACCTCAGATTAACTCTTCTTGCAGCACCCACCAGAGTGGCTGCAAGGAAGTGGAATTAAAATTGTGAGTATGTGAAGTTAAAAAGAGGGAGGGATTGTTTGTTGTTTTTCTTTCAAATTAGAGGTAGTTATCCTCAATAATTTAAACAACTTGTTACATTAACATGCTAAGAAGTAATCTCTTTGTTTCACAGAAATGGATTATTGCAGACCTCACTGGACATAATGAGCCATTCAAATATGAATGAAATGCAAGAAAATGGCCAAGAAGATACTTTCCTGCAGGTGGTGAAGGAAGCACCCCTGACCAATGGACACACTCACCTTGTTAATGGTGCCTTAAAGCCAGAGGACCTTTCTCCTCTTACAGATGTTAACAAGGAACTGCCTGAGTCTGGAGTTAAGAGTCCAGAGGAGAAACCTCCGAGTCCTCCGGTACAGTTTCAGACAAAGTCTGACCCGTACGAGTTTCCTCACAGTCCTCCAAAGCAAACACTTAAACCTCCTCCACCCACATACCAAGAGGCTTTAAAAGCTACCAAAACCCAGCTCCAGCCATCCCTTCAGGCTGATTCAAATCCTGAGAAGACTCCTCTTTCCCCTGCATCTCGCTGTTTTCCCCATTCTCCAGTTCGCCTGAATGGAAGTCACCACAATGCCTTTTCATCACATTCTGCCTCATTCAACACAACCAACATAACAGCCAATCCTAGACCTCTTACTGACAAGTCATCGGCACAGCTGCTGGCACAGACAGGTGGTTTGATCTCTGAGTTCTACTCTCACTCACGTTTACATCAGATCTCCACATGGAGGAACGGCTTTTCTGAATACGTGAATGAACTGCACAGCAAAAGAAAAGCAGCAGGAGGTGCCTCCTTTCCTGGAAAAGACCGGCTGAGAAAATCTGTAGCCCAGTGCTCTACAAGCAACCAAGGTAGGAAGTGACTGGTCATATGGTTGCATCTTTCTTTCAGGAATGCATACAACAGTGTTTCTGTAATTTCCTAATCACATTCAGCTGGATCATTATCCCTCATTCCTAAAATGTCTCCTGTTACTCAACTGTGAGCTGTCTAGTAAAGATGTTAAAATCATCATGGGGTATCATCATGTATAAGGAAACCGGTATGTTTAAGTGTTCTTTCGGTCATCGTAAATATTTACATTATCAGTGTTGCTGATAAGTAATAACGAATTCATGGCACTTGTGTAGCTTCTTTTGTTCAAACTGGATGTTAGGTTAGATGCTGTGTTCATGTTTTTTTTGTGATTTGGAAAACTACTGAATGACCAATATGCCTTCATGTGTCAGGTACAGCAACACCTGCAAACGTTAAATCTTGTATTCTTCATGTGGACATGGACTGTTTCTTTGTGTCTGTGGGGATCCGACAACGACCGGACCTTAAAGGTAAGGCACCTTCTCTCTGTTTAATTGTGTGCTGGCAGTGAAACATATGTTCATATGTAACACAGGCACCTGCTACATAGAGCGGTCCCACATATCCACTCAGAGTTCCTGATGTTTGTGGTTTTCTTACAGGAAAACCTGTAGCTGTCACCAGTAATCGTGGACAGGGCAGAGTACCCCTGAGACCTGGGGCGAACCCTCAGCTGGAGATGCAGTACTACCAGAGGAAACGAACTCACCCTCAGCCTGGTGAGACTGTCATATTCAGCCTGGAGAGTCCTGATTGGCTCAGTGCATTTCCTGTATTTTCTTGTGTGTTTTACTTCATTGTAACCTCCTTGACTAAGTGTATCCCTGTCCGGCCTCTCAGAGCTGAACGATGAGGATCTACACAGAACTCCATCACAAGAGAGTCCTGAGTCCCATGCAAAGGAAATGGACCAGGATGCTGCTGCTCTGTCAATGGCAGAAATTGCATCCTGCAGTTATGAGGCTAGGTAAAAGATATAAACACACATTCATATGCATTCGGTGATGTCTGCATTTTGTGCTAACTCAAATGTTACTTAACTGGTTGTCTCACAGACAGGCGGGTGTGAGGAATGGGATGTTTTTTGGCAAAGCAAAACAGCTGTGTCCCTTGCTACAGTCTGTCCCATATGATTTTGAGGCTTATAAAGAGGTGGCTCTCACCATGTATGAGATCCTGGCTGGGTAAGAATATCTCCCTGGTCGATTTTTCACTGCACGATTTTTACCTGCAAAATGAACTAAAGCACACCTTCTCATTTATTTGTTCTTTGCAGTTATACCCATGACATCGAGGCGCTGAGCTGTGATGAAGTGCTGATAGATGGTTCTGCTCTGCTAGCTGAGTTGAGCATCAGCCCTGAAGATCTTGCAAAAGCTATCAGAGGAGACATCAAGGAGAAAACAAGATGCTGTGCTTCAGTGGGCATGGGTGGGTTAATGTGTCTTATACTGGGAAATAGATCGACAGTGTTCATATTTTACAAATTCAAACTGACTGCTCTTTTTTGCAGGGTCCAACATCCTGCTGGCTCGACTGGCAACCCGAAAGGCCAAGCCAGATGGGCAGCACTTCTTAAAGTCTGAAGAAGTGGATGATTTTATCAGGGACTTGCCAGTGACCAGTTTACCGGGTGTGTGTGTATATATATACAGCACCACCTGCTGGTCATGTCCATTAATTTATAGCATTTTAGGTCTTGTAAACATTTCACTAAAAGTATTTTTTTTTTTTTTTTTTTTTAGGTGTTGGGACTGTTATGAGCAGTAAGTTGGCTGCTATGGGTGTAAGGTCATGCGGGGACCTCCAACAGGTGCCTCTGTCTCAACTGCAGAAGAAGTTTGGACCCCGCACTGGACAAACCCTGTTCCGTTTCTGCAGAGGTCTAGATGACCGGCCTGTGCGCTACGAGAAGGAAAGGAAGTCTGTCTCGGCTGAGATGAACTACAACATTCGTTTTACAAGGGTTAGAGCCCCTTTCTTTATTCTTTGCCATCTCTTCTTTTTCCATCTGCCCTGCATTTCCCACCTACAGTATGTGTCTGTAATCTCCCTGTCCCCACCACCTTTGTGATCAGATTGATGAGGCAGAGTGTTTCCTGACTAACTTGTCCATGGAGGTGCAGAGACGCCTACAGGAAGCAGGGCTGCGAGGCCGCAGAGTTACTCTGAAGGTCATGGTTCGCAAAGTTGGAGCTCCACTCGAACCAGCTAAATACGGTGGTCATGGCATATGTGATAACCTAGCCAGGTAAGAATGAGTCTGTCATCTCTGTGTGTAAGGAGTGGTTGATAATGTTCTCTTTCCATTGCTTATTTATGTCATTGTGTTTCTGTAGACTCATTTTTATCTGTTTCCTGCTGTCAGGACTGTGACGCTCACTCAGTCCACCGACAGCGGTCAGCTGATTGCTGCTGCAGTCATCAAGCTGTTTCATGCCATGAAGCTGCAGGTTCAGGATCTGAGAGGAGTTGGCATCCAGGTTCAGTTTCTCGAGGGACATCATTCTGTCCCCCAGGACTCCACAGGTCACCGGACACGCTCCATCAAAGACATGTTACTTGGCCAGTCACACAACAGAGGTTTGTATACGGTTTTTGTGTTTCAGTTCATATAATGGATGTCATCTAAAAAAACATCACCTGAGTTCAAGATCAATGTTGCTCCAGATGGTGCAGAGAAGAACACACATCAGGAACAGACTTCCTCAGCCACACCCCTATCATCTGGCTCCTCTCCAAATCCTCTGTCCTCTCCTGACCCAGTCCCTGGGACGAGTAAAGAACAGCAGGGAGGCAGACAAACCCCAAAACATTTACGAACACGTCTCAACCTTAGTATTGAGGTCCCCTCCCCTTCACAGGTGAGGTTTGAAAGATATTTCTGATAAATTAAAACAAAGACTGAACAATTAAACCTTTATGAACAAGCTGTTTTTCTTTATAATATTCAAGGTGGACCGCTCTGTGTTGGAGGCCCTTCCTGCAGAGCTGAGAGAACAAGTGGAACAGTCGTGGACTAACCGTGATGGGAGACCAAATAGACATTGTTCAGTCAGTCCACAGCCTCCCTCTCTGAAGCCTCATTCAACCTCCCCTCCTCATCCTCATACCTCTGGATCTGCACTAAACACTCCGCCTGTAGGAACTTTGGTTCTGCAGATTCTGAACCAGACAGACAGTCCAGGAATTGTACTAGAGCTCCCTAATTTGTCACAGGTAGGTATTAAGTGGTAATTAAATTTGCCAGCACAAAGAACTTGGAAAATCAAATACCCTCATACAGTTAAATAAATAGTGTTTTGAAAGCATGTTATCCAAAAACAAACTAAATTGATTGTACAGTAATCAAATTTTTACACTTATTCTTCAAATTTAAATATTAGCCCCCAAGAAGTATGCAAAGTTGATTTCATAGCTTGTGACAAGACATTCAGCTTCACCTAATTTCATGGCTCTCTGACTGCAGGTTGATCCTGACGTATTTGCTGCCCTTCCCAGAGAGCTCCAGGAAGAACTGAAATCAGCCTACAATCGTGTAACAACTATCCAGCCTCAGGCAAAAATGTGTAAGTCCCCAGATGAATTATTTGTAAAGCAATGCCTTTTTTTTCCTTCTACTATTTATCAGCACATCAATTTTCTTCATCTGATTTTTGCCATTTGTTGTTCTGTAGTGGACCAGAAGAATCCACTGTTGCAGCTAAAACAGTCGGGAGTAGGAATTGGCATTGGTCGGGTGAAGCGACGCTACAAGAGAAAAAATACAGTCAGCCCTGTGAAAAAAGGACCATCCCCTATGAAGAGACGCCCCACAACAAACAGCCCAGCCAAAACCCTACCACCCCTTAAAAAATCGCAGGAAGCAATAAACATAGTGAAGGTGAGCCTACTGTATATAGTTTTTCATCAAGATGAACCTTTTGGTTAGTGGTAGTATGTAAAGATAGTTTATGGCTGTTTGGAACTTGACATACTGTATCTCTCCAGCTCACATCTCTTTTTTCCCTTCTCAGACTGAAAATGGACCCTCCACATCCTCCTCTAAACAGGACATCCCTGAGTCTCCGTGTAAATTCATCCCTCGCCCTGCTCCAACACTGGCCGGAGCTTGTGATCTAACAGACATTAAAACACTCTTACGGGAATGGGTCACCACTATAACAGGTATACAGCAGAATGAGCTCTGTAATAATGCTAACGTGGTTGCAAAACTGCATTTTTAGTTCACTTTTTACATTTTGTTAGAACCCATGGAGGAGGACATCCTGCAGGTGGTGAAATACTGCACTGATCTGATTGAGGATAAAGACCTGGAGAAGTTGGATTTGATTATTAAATATATGAAAAGGCAAGTACAATACAGCTTAGTCTCCTGCGTTACTCTATCCCCACGTCTTTATTTTTTGTTGTTTTCATTTCTTCCTTATGTAGAATATTGATCATATTGATCTTTTCTCTGTAGGCTCATGCAGCAGTCAGTGGAATCTGTTTGGAGTATGGCTTTTGACTTCATCTTAGACAACGTGCAGGTGGTTATGCAACAGGCTTATGGTAGCACCCTGAAGATAGTTTGAAGGAGGACTGGTACTGATTTCACTGCCATTACCACTTCATGTTTCGCTACTTTCACAAGTCTTTCTGCAGCACAAAATATGATACCTAAATCATGATTTTCCTCCTCCTCAACTGTGATGTCATTGCAGCTTCTTCTCTTCAGTGCCCTACTAACACACAAAATATGAAAAAGTCACAAGGACCATGGCAGTATTTGATGAGAGTATGCACACTACATTATTCCTGTACCTCTTCTTTCAGAGACAAGTAACACAGACTGAGGGGCAAGAAATGTACTCCTCAAAATCCTGAACAGTGAGAATCGTAGCAGTTTTTTGAAAATTCATCATTTTTCATATGGAGTTCTTTTTCAAAGAATGCCAAGACTCATTTTCATGCATATGTGAAATTTTATATCAAGATTTTTACAGGCAGTACTTGACTATTTCTTATAAATTCCATCTATACCAGGCCTTGTAAGATTTTGAATTTCTCTTTTCCTGGTGAGTATTTTCCATCTGATATAGCAGTTGACTTTCCTTGTTTGACAAAGGATTCAATAGTGTTAACAGTTGAGGTATGTTTTTTTTTTATTCAGTTATACACCTAAGCCAGTTTATTGACAATAATGACGGTTGTAAACAATCATGGTGGAGTATCTTTTGAGGTTTTTGAATTTGTTAGCCTCGTAGCATTCATATGACATCAATCTTCTAATAATCTTAGAAATGTTTTGAAAAAAATCTGACTTTTCATCAATGCTATTTTGGTGCTCCATGCCACTTGTACTGACCTGTGAAATATTTACTACTGCTGCGTCACAAAAAGTAGACACCATATATTGTGTATACACTAGAACCTTTTTGTCTTTTTCAAAAAAAGTGCCAAATGCTGTTATTATAGTATGTAAATAATGTTTTTAAAGCTCATTGTTAAAAGGTTAAAAAGTAAATATGTAGAGGGCTTACCTCTTGTATTGTTTACATGTAGTGAATTCTTAGTAACTGTCTTTAAATTGTAAATCTTCTCACTCTAATTGTTTGTGAGTTTTCCAACATGGAAATCAGAAGCTGGCCAAAGCACTTCATATGGGGTTAACTGTTGATTCTCAGTAGCACTCTGACTTGGGAGGATGTTGGCAGGGGTTATGGCAATCAATAAGTAGCCTATGCATTTCTTTCTTTCACTAATAAGTGAGATGTCTCTTAAAAATTTCATACAGCCTTTGTATATGGAGTATATCTTGGTATTCTTGTGTCTTTCCATTGGTTTCTTAAATCTGAATATTGAGATAATACTGAATTTGCATAGGAACAGATTTAATGTTTAACTCTAACCCATGTTGTGTACATCACACAGACATTTGTATGGCTTGTGACTACACTCAATGGTGATTAGAAGTACTCAGCAGATGTGGCTGACCTTACCATGCAAGACATTACACGTGTGGATGAAAAGTTTGTTTAAAACTGTATCTCTATATGCAAACCAAATTAATCAGTCATTTTTAACTTGTTGAAATGAATGTAATTCATAATGTGCAAGTCTCCACTTACTTCAAGATGTTGCTTCTCTTCACCTGTCACATCTTTGTGGAAGGGAATGGCCGGGAGCTAAAATTGGCCAGTCTTTTGTCTTCTCTCAACTGGCTTGTGCCTGAAGACCTGAAGCTGTGAACTTGTTTCTAAGTTTTATAAAACTTGGTAATAAACTGTAAACTCTGTATTTAATCTATTAGTCTCTGGTATTATTTTTTAAGTTCTAACCTAACTTCTAGATGTGTTCAAAGAAGCTCACATAGGTTCTGAAAATTATCTTTAAAGGAGGAGATGGTTATTTTTATTGCTAACTGGAAATAATGAAGAGTGACTATACAGTTTTGTGCAAAAGTGTTAGCCACTAATTGTAAAGTGAGGTTGCCTTTAAAAATAATGCAATGAATAGTTTTAATACATGAATTTCAGTAAACAAAAGCATCAATAATTGGTGAGACCACCATTTGCCTTTACAACAGCACCTATTCTCCTCTGTACATTTGCTTGTAGTTTTTAGAAAGTACTTGACAGGTTGTTCCAAGCATCGCTTGGAGAACTTGCCACAGTTCTGTGAATTAAGGCTCTCTCTGCACCTTTTGTCTTTTCATTTGATCCTAGAATGACTTAATATAGTTAAAATTATTCAGTTTACTTACAAATGTATTCAACAATGTGGTAGCTGAATGTTACAAACTTGAAATCAAGTTATACCAAAGGCTGAACATAAAAATCATTAACATATGAGTACACTTGCAGCCCTGAAGAAAGCAAGGGCATTCACACGGTTACTGTTGCAGATCGTCCTCTTAAATTTAATTTCACATGTAACTCTTAGCTAATTTACACAGCGTGAAAACGTCAGGAACAAATATAGTATATATAGTATATAGTAGCAGGGGTGTGAACAGTCCATGCTGGGGATGGGTGAGGTTCTTGAGGAGGTGGGGTCCTTGTCTTCCACAACTTTGCGTTACTTTCAGCACGGCTGCCTTTCGCTTTAGCTCAAGCACTCTTCCATGCTTTGGTTGTAATGATGCTAACGTAGTCGATGCTAGTAAAAACAACACTAACAAAGATAGAAAGAGCTACTAAAGTCCATCTCGTCACTATCTCTCATCCAGTTATACTTTCCATACAACTTTAAAAGTGTGCTATAACCAAGTTTAAGCATTATGAGCATTTCAATAATAAGTGTTAATTTAGAATACCTTGCAACATAGATGTACAGTTTTAGTTACAACTTCTTCTTCTACATATTAAAGCAGTGTAGCCGTGTAAAAACTGTCCAACTTCCGCCCGAGGTCACTAATCAAAACTTCCGGTCGAAGTCGCCAAACCGACATCTTGCTGTCTGCAGCCAGGTCCCTCTCGTAAACTAGAGTTCCTCTGACGTTATATTCGCGGCAATCATTTGCGTTTCCCGCATGAACGCAAGTGTTGGTGATCATCGTCAATTCACCAGGTAATTATGTAATGGCAGCATGGTTTTGTATTTCTATACTTATTTAACATTAGAAACGTTTGTTATGTTTGTTAATATATCAAACGTTGATCAAATATTTTTAAAAGGCAGGAGGAGTGTTGATATCCACAAACATCGCAAGGCTAATCTTAGCTAGATAGCTTAGCAGGCTAACATAATCTCCAGAGTTGTCTAAGCTTTTCCTTCCTTGCTTTCCAGTTATTTTTACTTAGATAACGTTATGTTTCTCGATTAACTAATGTGTATTAATTCTTAGCACAGAAAGCCAAATAGTAAGCATCAAACAAATAAACAATGCTAACGCTAGCTAACAACATAGAAACAAGGCGTGTCCAGCCGTTACCATGGCTTTGTCTCTGTCATCTTAACCTAAAAGACGCTGCTCGGTCTGATCGCGTATTTCTTTCAATGATTTGACAGTAACTATACGTTGGGTCCTTACCGAGGCACTCGGGTTGATAATTGATAACCATGTACTTGTAACAGATGCCATTTCCTACTAGCTGCTAGCTTATTAGGTACCTTTAACTAGCTCTGCAATACGAAAGCCTTGCTATAACCGAGGTTTATGTTAACATTTTGTTGAAGCGATTTTAGAGGTGTTTCTAATATTTTAATAATCTAGATTAGAACTGGCTAGGACTCCAACTAACAATTGTTTTCTTTATCAAGTAAATTATTCTTTATTTTGTTTATGAAAGTAGTGAAAGATGCTGCTTAAAACGTGGCACAGATTATGGATTGTCACAGAGTATTGAGTTTGTTGTGTTTCAGCTAACATGTCTTAGCCCCTCAGGTCCAAAGAGAGTTTCACACTAAGCAGGCAACCATGGCCAGTCAATCAATGGAAATCCTAACAAAAGTTTTGGAGCAGTCTGCCAAGCTGGTGGAGGAGCAGGTGGATACACAGTTGAGCAAACTGAATGAAATGGATGAAGATGATTTGGAGAGACTGAAGGAGAGGAGATTAGAGGCACTTAAAAAAGCCCAGAAACAGAAGCAGGTATGTAGTATTCATTTTTACTCATTGTTTCATATGGTGAATTTTGCAGCATGAAATTATCTTACTTAAACTTACACTCTACAGCTTTGTGAAAAGGGATGAAGAGGAAACGTTTAGCTAGAAACTTGTGACACAATTTAGGAGCACTCATAGTAGCTTCGAGTATGGCTTTTGGGGAACACCAGCCATCCAGAAGGATTTTTCCTGGGGACCATTGTTTGACATTGTACATATCCCAAATCCACCAACAAAAAGCACTGCATGTCTTCACTGTGCTGTAATGTAATAGCCAGTTTTTTCTGCTATTTGAAGGAGTGGCTGTCTAAAGGCCATGGAGAGTACAGAGAGCTTCCAAGTGAGAGAGACTTTTTCAGTGAGGTCAAGGATAGCAAGAATGTTGTCTGCCACTTCTACAAAAATTCCACTTTCAGGTAAGTTCATATCAAGTATTTATCTATCTATAAAGATCCTAAGTGACAGAGAGGCTGTTGTATGATTGAGAAATTTAATCTAGTAGGACTGCACAATAAATTGATTTGGGAGTGCAATTTAGATCCCTGTGTGACTGATTCTGCCATGTTTGCATTAGCACAGAGATGCTTTGCATCAAACCAAGCTCTCCTTTATTCTCACTAAGCTGCCTTAACCAATAGCAAGAATGCGTTACATCATGTGATGAGATGTAGAGAGGAAGTAAAGACAGATTCAAAAACAAATCCAATGTGTATGACATTATTAAGGATATTCTGTGCTCTCCTGCAACTATTTTTCAAACATTGCACTGCCTGCTCTATATGCTTAGTGCCAAATAGCAGTTGAGGGAGAAATAAATCATTCTGCGGTTATTAGTTGTGGTTATTGGTTAATGGAGCTTAGCAAGGAAAAGGGAGGGCTTGTTTGATGAAGGCATCTCCATGCCAAAGCAAACGCAGCAGAGTCATTGTGACGTGAGACTGAAATCACACAAGGATCTAAATCACGCTCACAAATCGATTTATCATGCAGCCCTATATTCTAATATTAAAAAGATTGATTGACAAAACATTAAGCTGCAACAGTACTGATTATTCATTGTTTCACTAATTTATCAAGCAAAAGGAGCCAGAATTATACACCATGCTACTTGAATTTTTACATGACTGTTTTCTTTTATGTTGGATCCCTTCTGCAAGTTTTTTTTTGGGGGGGTCAACTGTTGGTGGTTTACATACTTATGTTGCACATGCATAATTGCACGCTCACTGCTGAGTATTTACACTCCACGGCTCCCACGTAGCATATATTCTGTCTGCATTATATTGTGTTCTTGTTGTATTTTTATTTGCTTCCTTCACTTGCTGCTTTAAAGTGCCTTAGATTTGTGATTTTACTGCCTATAGATTTGTTATTGCTCATCAACTTTATATTTCACTTGTATTGTGTGCCATTCACGTGGATGGCAAAGTAAGAATTTCATTGTACAGGGAAACATGTTTCCTAACTGTACATATGACAAACACTATGACCTTGACCTTTGACCTAACATACTTTATCATCAGGATGCTAAATGTTGTTATATGAATTCTATCCCTTATGTGTAGATGTAAGATCCTTGACAAACACTTGACCATCTTGGCGAAGAAGCATGTTGAGACTAAGTTCATCAAACTGAATGCAGAAAAGGCCCCATTTCTGACAGAGAGGCTGGTGATCAAGGTTATTCCTACGCTGGCTTTGCTGATAGATGGAAAAACAAAGGACTATGTGGTTGGATTTACTGACCTGGGAAACACAGATGAGTTTTCCACAGAGATGCTTGAATGGAGACTTGGCTGTGCAGGTGTTATTAACTACAGGTAAAACAGAGATTTACTCCTTCATCTTTAAAGCCATTTATTGCAGGTGTTGATAAAAACGAGTTTTTCTACCCTAACTTTGACACCTTTTGTTTTGTCCTAGTGGTAACCCGATGGAGCCACCCACAGGGCCACAGAGATCAGGCACAAAGTTCACAAAAGTGGAGAAGAAAACCATCAGAGGGCGAGGTTACGACTCAGATTCTGATTCTGGAGATGACTGAGAAACACTGACAGTCACCCGGTCTTCTCTCAGGGCTACCTCACTAATAACAGTCTAGCAGACAGCCCACTTTAGTTTTCTTTCTCCTCCCCTCTTTGTGAGTTACCTGTTCATTATAAATGTCCATATTGTAATTAATGTCTAATCAGATTATTTTATTTAAGTTAGCCTTATTTAAAAGATAAGGCCATTCATTTTCTATATTAATAGTATTTTCAGCAATCTCCATATAGAGGCTAAAACCCACAATGTATTGCCTCTACTCATGGTTTATGTCCATGAGTCTGTCAGTCCTGGATAAGCTTTTTCATCTGTGCCATAGACCTCAATTGATGTTCAAAAAGGATTAAAAACACATTAGTGAAACACACCACTGCACTAGGTAACACGTTTCTTCATTAGGAAAACCCAGACCCAAGCATGAGGAGCTAGCACTGGGTAACACGTTTCTTCATTAGGAAACCCCAGACCCAAGCATGAGGAGCTAGCAGATGGTAACAGAGCTCAGAGATCCCACAAAATTCTGCTTGTGCATTTAACTCTGACTCTAGCTAACTTCAGGAAATTATGGCTGCTCAGAGGCTTCAGGGCAACATGGTTAGGTCTGGGATTTTGTTATAAAAAAAAATCATGTCACCCAGTGCAGCGGTGTGTTTCCCTAATGTGTTTTTGTTTCTGGACAACAACTGATCCTGTCACACAAACAGGACTAAGAGACTGACGGACATTAACCGTGAGTAGAGGCAATTAATTGTCGGTTTTAGTCCTTGTATGGAGATTGAAAATGCTATTAACACTGAAAGTGACCATCCTTATCCTTAAATGAATTATCTGCCATGTTTTCTGTTTGAATAACTGATATACATGCCCTTCAAGACAGACTTCACATCAAATTGTAGAGGATCTGTTTCACTGAGCCACTGCACCAATCATGTATCACCTAGCTCTTAGCTTTATAGTATTGCTACTGATTTTGTCTCCTCATTGGATAAAACCTTAAAACGTTTGCTTAAACTACAGGTGTTCTCATTAAGATAGTTCTGTTTATTTCAAGTGTTTCCTTCTAACTGTGAGTCTGATGTTTAGAACCGAAGCTATGATGCATTGAGTGCCAAGATCATCTTTTAACATCAGAATAGTTTTACATGACATTTCATCATAGCAAAACCTTGGCTTAAATAATGCAGCCTTAATAAAAGTATACAAGGAATTTAAATATTTGTGCGATTTTGTATTACCCTTTTATCAGGTTTTCTACAGCGCTTCAATTATTCTCAGATTAACGTATACATGGGCCTATGTGAAGTGACCCAATTCACATACCACTAATGCAGATCAAAGTTGTTCTGCCTTATCAGATGCAACAAGACACAGAGTACAAAAACGGCCTGTACACACAAACTTAAGCTGTCTCGAATCCATAATACATACTAATTCTAAGCAGGTTATGAGTATGCAGTGTTTCCATAAAGACTAGTCAGTATGCAGACTAGAAAAAAAGGGCATAGTTTGAGTGACACTAGTCTCCTGCAGCGCAATGCATAGGAAAAATCTCTGGGTAGTGAAATGTGAAACTGTTCCAGAAATACTTAAGAAAACAAGTTTTAGGGCAAAAATTGTCCAAGTTTCATTGACAGTGTCATTCTTTAAAGTCACAGATTGACTGGTTGCACTGTGTATGTACTACATCATTTAAATACTAATTACAGAAAACGGTATACACTGGGGGCAGCCTTGTAGCTGGTCCTGTGCTGGCCAATGCCTTTGTACGGAGTCTGGATGCAGGTTCTTACAGTCCAAAAACATGCAGTTTAGGTTAATTGGCAGCTGTAATTTGCCCATAGGTGTGAATATAAATGGGTTTCTGTTGAACCTGTGCAGGGTGCACCCTACTTCTTGCCCAATGTGAGCTGGGATTGACTCCAGCCCTCTAAATGATAACCAGATATAGCTGATGGATGGATTTGTATAAGTGGTATGTAGTGTGGAATTGTGACACAGCTACAGTCCTGTAAAGAAGTCCAATCATAAAAAAAAGTGAGAATGCCTGTATGAGTAAACCCTAGGTGTGTTGGGCTTTTCATTTGGCTTCTGAGATAAGCTCTAATAATTGCCAGTCTGACTCAACAGAGAAAGTGAGAATTTATCACACATAAGTAAAAAGGTTGTTTCATTTCAAAAGGTCTTTATGTTGTCGTGTTTAATAAAGAGTCTGAACATCACCTGTCTCTAAATTGTCATAGAAAACACTTAACAGCTGAATGAGAGGTTAGTTTTTAGATTGGCATTTATTGATAGGCAAAACAAACCAAAGCATTTTCCCAGTGAAGCAGAATCACAGCTGGTAGCTTTGTATCACAGGACTTAAAAATTCTTCTATTGAGAGTGTAGCTAAGATTCAATAGCCTTGGGCTCTACTGGTTGGATAAGGCGACGGATAATCAGCTCTCCTTTACTGTTAATGTAGGTGTTGGCCATGTCCTGTTCAGTAGGGAGTCCGTAGGGGACCTTCAGTGGCTGGATCCTGAATTTACCAGAAAAGAGATGACAGAGGAGCAGGAAATTAGATTCCCTGAATGTCCCCTCATTGACCAAAAAATAGTTCAACAGGTTTTTACACTATATTCTAAAATATAAAAATCCTCAACTCCTCTAACTCACTTGCTGCATGTGTTAGAGTTACAGAAACAGTCATCTTACCTCACCAGGTGCTTGACAAATTTCAGTTGGTTATTGACTGCAGGTGTATTTTTGTGAATTACTGGGACCTGTGCCTAAATAAAAGGAAACAAGGATACAACGAAGTCAGTGCTAAAAAGCTAAGACTGTGAGCATGACAAATTCAATACAATTTTACCTCTAGAAAACACCAAACACCATCATCAAGGTTCTTGGTGCCTCTGTAGCAGACATTTGCTAGTTCAGTTAGAGGTGATACAGTCACAGCTAACAATTTATGGGATCATCATTTGATACCGCCCCTCTGTTCCTTCATTCTACCAGGCAAGATTGAACCACACTGTATAATCCTTATTAGGCTGCTAAATGGATGGACTTTCCATGACCAAAGGTTAGTCAAAAAATGCATTTCATTAGAGGACATTTACCCAAGTCTTTAAAGTTTTGAGTTTTCTGCATTTTTCTTTACTTTTCTTTCTTTTATTCTCAAATGATTCAAGCCTTACCTTTTGAAGCCCCAGGTGATTCACCATCTCTTTCTCCCAGTATGGTCTTCGCATCACACTTTTGACTCGTGTTACTATATGCAGTTTATGAGGCTGGTCTGGATCGCCACCATATTTTTCATGTTCTTTTGATCTCTCAGCAAAGAGCTGCAAGAAAAACACCCTTTGAATACTGACAACAGAGCTAATGAGCTGATGCTTTAATAACTTAGAAGTACAGAACAAAGAAGCATTATTACCATTTGCCAGACAATCTATCTTTGGGGTCCTTTGGCAATAATTCTATAATAACAGCCCCAGCCTCCTGTCCTCTGTGCACTGTTTATGGAACTTGCTGGAATTCTCTCCTATGTAATTTACCAATATGAACCATGTGATGCCGCAGGCTAAAATTACTAAGGTATAAACATTTGATATTTACAAAAGGTAGTTCTATAACACAGGGACAAAAGCTTAGATAATAAAGAAGAACCTGTTTTGTACTTGAGTGTTGTGAACTGCAATTTGTTGAATTATGTGCAACTAATATACAGCAAACATACAGGCTTTTGCATCGATTCCCACCTCTTTTGAGATTCTTGCTTTGGTAAATTTACTGCGTGCTGACACAAACCACCGGCAAGGTGACAAAACTGTACCTTCTGTCAGGATCTGTAAACATAAATAATCAGATATTAGACAAAGTTAACAACAAAGTATTAAAGACTAAAAGACAGCTTTGTTCTCTATTACACAGGCACACATATACAATGGCCTCTAAGTTTGGGCCATATGATGGCAAAACTACATAAATATGACAACATTCAGATTTTTGCCACAGTGTTTATATTGTGGTGGTCATCACATCTCTGGGTTTATTCTACCACTGTGGACAATACTTTAAGTCTAAGAGATATGCAGATTTCATTTGATTTTTTGCAACAATGCGATCTTATTTAATGTCCCGATTTAGCCCAAATCAGTCATTCCTGTCAGGTCATTTTTTCACCTAATATATTTTCAACTGTTTCTCTGTGTAATATATCACAATTACATGTTGGTAACATTATAAGTAGAGACAGGTGGTTTATTAATATCATCACCATCATCATCATCGCCTTCAGGGAAAGACCAGCTGAGAGCAAACGCTCATTCTCAGTGGTGCCCTGACATACAATTAACACCTTCGAAACAGTAAAACAAACACATGATTCATATACAATCAGTATTAAAAAAATCACAAAACACACATCATAAACAATAAAATATGTACACAGGGTCAACATAACATCAAATCACAGTGTCCAAATCGTCAGTTACACTTGTATTTAAACTGTAAAATATTATATAAAAGCAGTTTAAATTGAGATAAAGAAATGAGTGCACCCAGTCTATGATTTTTTTTCTGCAAACTGTTCCATCTTTGTGGGGCATAGTAAGAGAAGGACATCTTTCCTATTTCTGTATTGGCAAAAAAGGGCTCCAGAACAAGATAACCTTGAAGGACTCCTCCAATAATACCCAAAAAATTAGACTTAAAACAATCTACTACATCAACTTGTGATCTATGAGACAACTAGTTTCTAAACCAATGACTTTTCATCAAATCCAGTATGGCCAGGTTTTTGCAAAAGAATGTTGTGATCCACAGAATCAAAAGCTTTGGTTAAATCAATAAAAAGATCTAATTTTCTATCCAAAGCCTGTGCAATATCGCCAACACCACCACCATCATGATATAAACAGAGACGGGGGATTTATTCATGTCACCAATCTATTTACAATTTAACGACTTTAAAGTCTGGCACAGTGAATTAGAAGTCAGACTTCATTTTCAGCTAACACGTTTTAGCTGAGTTGGAACGTGTGTTGAGCAAAACAAATATAATATAATACAGTATATAGAGTTAAAAACCCAAAAATAACCAGTTTACTATATTTCAACATTAAAGACTATATGCCTTCAAATTATTGACATTGAGAAATTCTGGCTTAAAGATAACAGTTACGGAATATGTTGTTTTTTTATTCAAACATATACACTGGAGTTCTTACCTTGGAAGATAACGAGCTCAAACTGCAACCTGACATGTTTTATTTTACCAATAACAGCCAAACTCCTCTTCCGTGACACAAACCACAGGCCAAGGTTACAGCCACGCTAACATCACAAATAGGCTTATGGCTCAAACGTAACTAAACCTTATAGGAAAAAGCACAAATGGAACTACATTCATATCGTTTTCACCCAATTTACAGTAGCTATGACAATGGAACAGCTGAAAAATTAGACTAAACATGTATAAATGCTCTTGTCGATATTCTTTCCCCCTCGGTTGTCCCCACCGGAAGCGTTAGGGACTTACATTGAAATTGCACCGATAGGAAAAACGTTCTGTGCGTAATGTTCCTAGAATAGCTATTTGATTTAAAGAAAAATTATTTCAAATATTTATTTTATACTTGTTTAATATTAAGCAAATACTGGTACTTCAGCTGTGTGTTTTGTTGAAACTGTACCCATCTTGCCCCAATAGACCATTGTGCAGCGTTACGGCTTTACGTTTCTCTGGGAGTTATTTTTGTGGTGCACTCAGCTGTCGGGTAGAGAAGGTAGTGTTGTTCCTTTCGTGTGCTTTCCTGATATTACTTAAGAATGAAAATTCTATAAATTTTCTAGAATACATTGAAAGACAAAGGGTAGCCAGAACAATGGCACAAAATCATGCGTCAGGGATGGAGATGTCGGCCATCTCCGTCCTCAAACGGGCGGTGGAGCTGGACCAGAGCGAGCGCTTCCAGGAGTCTCTAGTTTGCTACCAGGAGGGCATCCAGCTGCTTATGGACGTGTTGAAAGGTCTCTGCCCCCCTCTTTCATACATAGATACGGCGATAGCAAAATGAAGGAAATGCATAATCACTTTTTTCTGTCAGCAGCTGTGAAGGATGACTCAAAGAGGGGGGTCTACAGGGAGAAGATAAAGGGCTACATGGACAGAGCAGAGCAAATCAAAGCTCATGTGAACCAGATGAAAGAAGGTAATTATCACAGATTCTCAAGACTGGATTATCAGATGTGCAAAGTGGGCAACTAACCACAGAGAGGGCCAGATTAGGGTTCATCTCAGACCCAGATTGGGGCAAAAATTAGTGGTGGGCTCCTGTTGAACCCCAGTTTATGTAAGCAGGCAATCAAGACAGGTAATAATGCAGGAACTCTGTGTAATGCTAGAAACTTTACTTCGCCCCTAACATTTTAGTTGATAGTGTGCTTATCAGGGCATATCTTTTATATGCTCTGAATATGGAGCCTTTGAGACACCTGTGGTTCTGAGGCTTCAAGGCATTTACCTACTGTCCTGCCCTTGACTCAGGTTGACTGTGTGGCAGTTCTACCTATTACTTTGTATATTTTCAGTAACCACAAATATGAGCGGCATTTTGCATCACTAAAACACAATTGCAAACTACAAATGGTAAGTGTTGCTAAAATGGCTCCATCATTTTTTCCCAAGTCTTGTGGCCATATTGCATAGAGGGGCCAACAAAATCTAGTTCACATACCTTTAATATCTCAGTTCATATTATGCAAATTAATGGGTAAACAAATTTGTGTTTTATGAAATGATAACTAACTAACAATAGCATTTCAGCACAGAAATACTGGTTGAAGTACAGCCGCTAACTCCTGTTAGCTGTTCAGGAGTCTGATGGCAGAGGGAAAGAAAGAGTTTTTCAGTCTAGAGGTCCTGCATCTCACACTTCTGAACCTCCGGCCAGAGGGTAGGGAGGCAAACAGTCCATGCTGGGGGTGGGTGGGGTCTTTGAGGATGGAGGCAGCTTTCCTGTGGACTCTGCGGTGGTAAATGCTCTGCAGAGAGGGCAGTAGAGTCCTGGTGATCTTCTCCGCAGTCTTTACCACTCTCTGCAGCCATACCAAACGGTGATGCAGCTGGTCAAGATGCTCTCAATAATGCAGCTGTAGAAGTTGCTGAGGGTCCTAGGCATTCTTGACCAGCTGTGTGGTGTTAAGTGTTTAAGTGAGGTCCTCACTGATGTGGACGCCCAGGTATTTGAAGCTGCTCACCCTCTCCACTTTGAGCCCCCAGGATGAACAGTAGCTGATGAGTTCTCCTCTCCTTCCTCATGTTCACTATCATCTCCTTCGTCTTGTCCATGTTGAGGCTGAGATTATTGTCCTTGCACCATGACACCAGACGGCCACCTCCCTCCTGTAGGCTGCTTCGTCCCCACCTGCTTCTTGGGAAGGGGGATGATGGTTGTGGTCTTAAAGCAGGAGGGGACGATGGGGAGACTGTATCACCTCTTTCCATTTTTCTTCTCTGTCTGTATCTCTCTCCTGCCAGATGGGAAGTACCATGAACAGATAAGAATATCAGAGGATGCTACTGGCTACAGCTATGAGGCTCTGTTCAAGCCGTACATCAGTAGTGCTCTCACAGAGGTTTGGGTGGAAGACCCCTACATACGACTCACCCACCAGGTAAAAGCTTCCTTTTCATTATTGTTTCATTTCCAGGCAACTGCTCTGGGGCCCCTGACTCCCAAAACCTCCAGGGTAACAGTTCAGCAGTAGCTTTTTATGTTGTGATTAATTATAGCTTTGTTTAGGTCCTGCCTTGTTACCCAATCCTGATGTCTTAAATTCTTAAGAAAGAGGAGATAGAAGTGACATAAATTTGGAGCAAACTCTGAACTAAACTTACTTTAACATGTCAAACATACCTAAGAGCCACAACTAATGATATTTTTCATTACTATTAATTATTTTAAATCTATGAACTATCAAAACTAGTGAGAACCTTCCAGTGCTCACGTCTTTCATGTATTGCTCAACCAACAGTCCAGGACCTTAAGATATTTGATTTACAATGATTTATGACAAAGAATAGCAGCAGATCCAGCAGTTTGAGAAGCTGTAGCCAGATCTTGATTGGATTTTTTTCAGTGTTTTTGCTTAAAAAGATATATTTAACTATTAATGAACTATCAAAATAATTCTCATTCATTTTTCTGTTGATCGACTGATAAATTAATCTGTGTATCCTTTCAGCACTAAACATATCCCTCACGCCTTGTCTCTGCTACAGTTGTACAACTTCCTACGGTTCTGTGAGATGCTGCTAAAAGCGTCCTGCAAGGTGAAAAAGATCCATCTCATCACTTCACAGGATGAAGTAGGTTATTAAACTGAGGTCACACTGTGTAATTAATACATAGCTACCACAGCAGTCGCTGTGGTTCAGTTTGTGTTGTGTTGTTTCACTGCCTTGATTCTGTCCTGCAGGCAGATAGCAGCCAACAGACCAGTGCTCTGGCGGAGCTGGAAGAAAGTCTCAGTGCTCAGGGAGTGACTCTGGATGTGCAGTACTCCTCCACTATCCATGACAGGGAGATCAGGTACCTTCCTCCACAATAGCTTCACTTAAATTTAGTATGCAGGACTTAATTTTAACACAGCATACTTTATTAATTATTCGAAAGAAAATCCTTATTTTAATACATAGTGTTCACTTTCACATCAGAACTCCTTTTTCCATAACTGTGGCTTCATTTAGTGGCAGCAATCTAGATTTAATTGTGTCTTTAGGTTTGACAGTGGTTGGATCATAAAAATTGGAAGAGGGCTGGATTACTTTAAGAGACCAAAGGTGAGTTTTCCTACTTTAATACTAGACCCAGTATCTATCCCTCAGTTTCTGCCATTGCCAGATTTACTGTCCTGAACATCAGTGAATCAACATGTTGAGTTCTGGTTGTAAAAATGTGTTCATTACGTTCCACAGGGTCGATTCTCCATTGGATATTGTGACTATGACCTCAGGCAGTGCCAGGAGACCACAGTAGACATTTTTCACACCAAACACACAAAAACTCTATGAGCGTCATGAACCTTCGATTGCCTTTTTCTAACTCAGGTGACTTCATTTACAGATCTGCCCTCAAAAAACATGCTGTATAGACACATCTGTTCTGCTGTTGGATTTTCCTTAACATAAAAATGCATGTGATTGGCCTCATATCAACTGTATTAACAGCAGTTTTTGTTTTACAGTATGTCATATTTATATGTCCTTATTGCTTATGTAGATCAGTAAGTTCTTCTTCAGTTTTCACCTTTTCTCATTTTGCAACTACCCAGTTTTAAAAACTTAAATATTTTTTATAATAATGGTGGTCGACACAGGGACGTTGCTTTTTATGACATCATACTGCCATCTAGTGGAAAAAATTTTAAATGCTAAATTATATTAAAAGGGCTTTTATAATATCATAAAATGTCTGTTTTATGTTTTATTTTAACCATCTGGGCTTGTCCAGTTATTTTAAATTAATTGTCTTAAATTTAAAATGTAAAATTTCAAACAAATGCGCTCATATAAAAATATTTCAATAAAATGAGTTTTAGGATTAGATTCTGTATATTCAACTCAGTAAAATGAGATTTGGTTATCTTGTACTTCTTTATCACTAAGTGGTTGTTGAGTTAAGATTTTTTTTATTGTTTTTGTGTTTTTTGTCAAATTACAATTTGCAATTTGCAATTTACAGTTTACTTGCCTGTTCCCGGTCAGCAGACTGAGTAGTCCCATTCATCTTGGTTTAAAAGTGTAACTATTTCCAAGGTCAAGAATGGAATTTAAAGCTCAATTTATTCTAGTTTGCCACTTACAGGCTTAGTAGTTCCAGTTGCATCATATCTTCAACCTATGACAGAGTATTAGGGCCACATTAAGGAAAAATAAAAACAGAGGAGGGAGATTTTTTTTTATCTTTTATGTTGACATTGAAGTTGAGATTAAAGTCAAAATGTCTAGATTAAAGTCAAAATTCTCAAAATTTCTGCTTTAATCTTGACACACAAAAATAAAAAATCTTCCTCCTAATTTTTTTAATACTCTGTTGTAGCACACTGCCGTGAAAGGGTTAAAACTGTCTTGTGACAGTTGACAATCTAGTGGTTTGAAAATAGTTTATATATTAACAAATAACGTGACTGTGGGAATCCTGTCACTTATGAAAAGCCCACACACTAACATCTGGTTAATGGGTAAAATACGTTTTATAAACATATACTGTAATGAGAACTGACAAGTGGATATTTGGCTGCAGTGGCAGTAATTTGTATCACTTCTTCAGGACTTCAAATGTTGGTCAATATGTCAACACTGCTCTCTGATCTGTGAGTCTAATATGAATCTAATGAAGATTGAATATACAGATGTTTTCCCAATAAAAACATTCATAGAAAATCTTTCCTCATTAGAGATTTGTGGGAAATTGTTTATTTGAATGAATGGGAGCCTTTGTGAGTTCAAACAGTGCTATGCTCGGCTTATCTATCGGCCTTAATCTCGATATGCTTGGTTCCCTCATCTCGGCTCTGAGAGGAATAAATTATAATCCATCAGAAACCCACATTAACCAGAAACTATCATGGTAGAAAACATCAAAGCCTCTGTTTTCCTTGTGCTGAAAGAACAAAGACCACAGTGCTGTACATTTCAGTATGTACAGACACATTTTCTACAAGCTAACTTATGATTAGTAATCATAAGATATAAGCTTGCATGCATATAGTCCTTTATGTGTTGATTACAGATGATAAATACATGAACGGAAGGAAACTTCATCCTAGACTCTTATGTCATTGTTATCATCCTGCATGTGGTTTGCAGCATAATCCAGCTGTCACTGGCTGAGTTTATATTCTGCTGGAAGAGATAAAGATTTGTGTCCTGAAGAGCCGTGTCAGATAAGGTGTTCAGCCACACACAGAGATACAGAAGTGCAAAAGTAGAGGTTTCCTTTCCATTTCCCGATGCCCTCCGTCTTAGTGATTGTAACCTAGCGGCCTAGGTAGTGTCCCATCTCTGAATGCTATCCTTTGTGAATGTACAGAAAGTTAGATTCACTGCTGCCACACTCGGATCATTTCAGTGATTATAAAATGTGGGTGATATATTTGTTTTGGCTTTATTGTTTTTTTATTATTATTATTATTATTTGGTATATTTTTTGACTTGAACGAAGAAGATATGGACAGCAAACCTGCAACAAGAGGTGAACACTTCAGTAGGCTACCTGGATGCCAAACTGGAAGAGTCTTTGATAAAAATGATTGATCATGTCTTTTCTCGCCATGCACCAGTACTTGGTCAGTGATGTGTAAACATGCAAATGCAAAACACACACTTCTGTCTCTATACCTACTGTAAAATACTATTAAAGATTATTAATTGAAGTCTATATCTCATCAGAGCTGGGACCTGACTAGTTCCTGTTTTTGTTTTGTTGTTTGTTGTTTTTTTTAACCTTTCTAAGGCACATTTACACACATACCCACACAAATACTTGGACTGCCCCCTGTGATCATCCGGGGGCGTTAGCAACTTGGTGTAATGTGTAAACAGTTCTATCAGCTATAATTCTTGTACGCTTGTCCTCTTTCCAACTGGAGCTTTATTTTTTCCCTCTACTCTCATTTCTGGGCCTAAAATCAGGTTAGCGTTTTATAAGGAGCTTAGCGCAGAGGGCCACAGTGTGCCACTAACGTAATAAAGTATCTCTCTCTCTCTCCCTCTCTCTCTCTGTGTCTCTCTCACACACACACACACACCCTCTTGTGTCCTCTTTTTTGTGCATTTGCTTACCCTGCCATGAAGTGACCTTCTCTCTCTCTTTCTTTTTCTCCCTGCCTGTTTCTCTCTCTGCTTCCACTCTGCTTGCTCGTCTCTCTGCATCCCCCCTTCAGCAGCAGATGTGGACAAACCAGAGGTTTAAACATTAGCACAGTGAATTTAGCTGAGACGAGACAACTCGGCACAGAGTGGAGGACAAACAGAGGAGGGGCCTACGTGGTGATATTAGACTTTCGTAAGTTCACTGATTTTTGTGTGGGATGGTGTGTGAATGTGTGTGTGTTTTAACAAGCTTTCGCAGTGAGAAACCACAGTACTTTCCCTGTGGATGTCAGGTGAATTTTGTGCTGCGCTATGTGGCATGTTTGTGATTGAGCTGTTGTTGTAGACTATGAGGCTGTGAAGTCTTACAGGGATCTCTCTTTAATGTCAGTAATCCAGAGGATTATATTCTTTTTCTGTCTGGGCTTGGTTCACTGAATGGCAAAACTGTAAGGAACGGCCTGGTTCATGACTACTCTTGTTTCATTCACTGTAGGGCTAACTGCATTAACAAGTTGAAATGTATTTGTAGAGCAAAGAATTAAAATGTTGTGGAAGTCAAATATTGACATTGCATGCAACCTTTTGTTATTCTGTGCAGTATTTATGTTATTATGTCCTTTTCCAAAGGGTGTGCTTGTAGTCTGAGAAGTGAGCTGGGTGATATGAGTGGTGCAATGTAGACTTTGCATGTTTATCCATAACCTGACATTATCAGGGACCCATGCTGTGCAGGATCAAGATTTGTTGACACGAGGCGACACCGGAAGAACAGTATAAAACACAAACTGCATGTGCATGTCTCAGACAGAACACTATATCCAAGGCAGAGTGGAAAATAACATCTGTAGAATAAATAAATCAAGCCCTGCACTAAATCTTTCACCCAGTAACACATCAACCCAACCTGGATGTTTGTCAAGCAAGTGCTGCAGAAGTAAATCTGCCTGAGAGCAAGATTTTAGCTTTTGCTTTGTTCACAAAATATAACACATAATCCATGCTGCAGTGCTTAGTGACAGGGTCCTATCTATGTACAGTTCTTGTGCAATGTCATATCAGAAATCCTGATACCTCCTCTGTAACCTCCATGGTGTGTTATTTCTTGATGACACTGCACTTCATTCTTTATTATGTGGTCCTCTTAAAAATGCTTCTTTGGTCATTCAAAAAGAAATTAAAGTAAAAGAATAAATGAGTGGTCTCTTCCAGGATGACAGTACTTCCATCCATAGGACACAAGGGGTCACTGAATTGTTTGATGAATCTGAAAATGATGTGAATCATATGCTATGGCCTTGACAGTCACCAGATCTCAACCCAGTAGAACACATATGGGAGATTTTGGAGTGACGTGTTAGACTCCACGTCTCCACCACCATTATCAAAACATCACATTAGGTAATATCTTTTGGAAAAATGGTGTTCATCCTGCCAGTAGAGTTCAGAGACTTGTAGAATCTGGTGGCACATGGTGGCCCAACACCTTTCTAAGATACTTTGTTGGTTTTTCCTTCAGCTAGTCACCTGTCTGTGTTTTGCTGATGTTAAGTACTGTTTCCACACCACACTCCGCCTAGCTACAGTAAAGGCTTGTGCTATTCCTGATAATACCAATAAACCTTTGAACCTCGAGTCCAGTGTCACATCTTCAGGCAGGTGCACGAGTACATTAAGTTCATATTCTACCAGAGAACAGACAACATGTCACTGCCGTGTCTAAAAACTGTATGTTGAGGTTTATATTGTCACAGTCGCTTGTCATTGTCAGTGCCTTTCTTCACACAGTTTCCTTTTGTCTGTTTTGTGCTTCTTTCAGTGATCAGACCGATGGAGTCTTTCTCTGGAGACACAGAAGAAAGCATTGAGTACATTCCAGGTGAGATAATCGGTCCTGAAGTTTTATGTAAGAGAATTATGGTGAAGAAAAATCAACTCTGACAAAAATTAGCCATTAAAACAAAAGACTTTGCCAGCGCAACATGGACAGTTTGTTGTCAACGATAGATCATAATCTACAACATGACATACCAAATGTTTGATGGAACAATTAGAGGATAAAAGACCTTTTTTTTGATTATGTGAGTTGTGCATGTACATGAGTGTGAGCTGCTGTAATCTGGATCTGTCTCAATTTTCATTGCTGTTAGGACGCAAGAAATCCAAACTTAAGTCTCTGAAAACTCTTCTTTTCGGGAGGAGTAAGAGAACAGGTGGAGAGAAAAACACCAAACTCAGCCAGTCAACCAGTGACATTACTGCAGGAAAGGAACTCGGATCAGATGAAGACTTGGTGTGAGTGTCTACATGTGGAGTAAATCTTATGTTTGCTTTACACTAAAGATCCACTTGTTGTCTGTCTGTATTTCCAATCTATTTTCTTGTCTTCTTCTTCCTCCTCTGCAAGCCCAGATGCTCCCAGAGGATGATGGGATCTCGAGCATTGTCCCATGAAAGCATCTTTCTGGCTGGTCAGGTCCTGACAGACCCTGAACCAGCCAAGGTCCTTTCCCAGGAGAATGTTCACTGCAAGATCAAGGCTCTGCAGGTACAGCCTTTTTTTTCTGGGCATTTTGTTGGGAACTGGTCCTTTAGAAATGTAAAGCACCTGTGGTCTGGTATCATAGATGAAGCTTCAGCAGCAGAAGATACATTTGGGACCGCCCCCTATGGTTCTTCCAATCAGACGTCCAGAGGAGCCGAATAGCCACTCAGAGGTTGACAGTTTTCGCTGCAGCCGCCCTGAGATCTCAGGAGGCGATGTTACATCCCACGAATCCGTCAGCAAGGTGAGTAATCATTTCACATACATGCTCAGTTGTCATTTCAAGTTCATATATTTGGACGTTTGTAGGTCCTTGAATGTATCTTCTGAGTGGATTCACCAATCATACTCCTCCTAGACACATAGCCTCAATAAATTAACCTTACTTTCTACCAAACACTACAATTAAACTTTGTTAAAATGATGTGCTGCCTCCTGGAGTCATAGTCAAAGCATATTGTCTGTCTGCCTAGTGGTGCAGTTACTGTGCAGTACTTCTGTTTGTGTATTTATGTACATATGTGTGTGTTTCTCTTCTACAGTATGTCTTAAGTCATGCACTGATCAGCCACAGCATAAAACCACCTGGCTAATACTGTGTACATAGGAGTCAATGCAGCAGTACAAATGGACATTAAAACTTTAATGTACAGTAGACCTCATCATCACTGAGCCTTGGGTGTCCATAGCCCTGTTGTCGGTTCACTGTTTGTCCTTCCTTAGACACTGTTGGTAGGTACTAACCACTGCAGAACCAGGAGCACAAAACAAGACCTGCAGTCTGATGCTCTGACGCAGTCAGCCATCACAGTTTGGCCCTTGTCAAAGTCATTCAGATCCTTAATTTTGCATGCTTTTCCTGCTTCCAACACTTCAACTTCAAGGACTGAATGTTCATTTGCGGTCTAATATATCCCATAAACTGATAGTTGCCATCATAATGAGATAATCAATGTATTCACTTCACCTGTCAGTGGTCATAATGTAAAAACCAAGCTTTCCTCAAGTAGAAACATTTTCATAGTTGTAGAAATGTTGCTGATCCTTGTGAAGGTTAAGTTTGAGATTATAACTGGGATTTGGTTTCATTTGAAAGGCAGATGATATTTTTACCCTTTTTTTTAAAGTCCTGACAAATTCTGTAAAAAGGGGGTGAGAAGAAGTCTTTCCTATTGAAGTTGTAAATCTTTAAAAACAGGTCACAAATATATGGTTTCATTTAATCCCTAATACATCTGTGGTTTTTAGTAAACATTAAACAAACAGGAGTAAATAGTGCATCAATTGGCACCATTTTCAGACACAGTGCACTAGAACAGCAGCAGGATGGTGCATGTGGGATTAACTCAAAATAAACTAGTGTCCATGTTCATTGTAATAAAGGAAAATGTCATTCAGTGCGACGGTTATTGGATGGCTATTTGTATGGATGTTTTAGTCATTTTTGCACAACAATAGAGGTCCACAGATGTTTCATCCCTGGTAGTTCATTGTTTGCTTTGAACATTTTATGGATTTTTTTTCCAATTTGAAAAAAATATAAAATTGGCAGTATTATCCTTTAATATCAGGCAGTTAGGAGAGTATGAGTGTCTGGTTAGAGTGAGGAAATGAATTCAATTGATAACTGTCCCAATAATAAAATTCCAAACATTTATGAAGATGTTTTGTTGTGCTTTATTTGTAGTGTTATATAATGATTTTGTTGGTTTGTTCTTTTTAGACCATATCCCAGGCATCCTCTCGCCCACTCTCACCCATTCCCAAACCTGAACCTGCCAAGTTTGTGCCCCTGACTCCATCCTTCTCTTTGCCTCCTTCTATCCCCTCCACTTCATCTTCTTTTGCTGCCGAGCCCCCGATGGACTTCAGCTCCCCACCTCAGTTCATCCCCTGCCTGGATACCTCTGCTGCACGCCATCGCATGTCTGTCAAGCCCAGAAACCAAAGAGCCTGCACCAAGAATAGACTAGCTGCAGTGAGTGACCATATGAACTGATTGTAAAGGCAAACAACACACAGTACACCCCCTTCACTCCCCTAACCTTGCTGTCTTTTCTATTGGCAGAGCAATTCTACGTCTCATTCACACACCCTGTACAACATTGACCACCCTGAGCTGGCGAAAGAAGAAGAGCTTGGTGCTCAAGACAAAGTGACAGTGGAAACAGAACAAGAAGATACTGACATCACATCTCAGTGGCTTCCTTCAAAATCCCAACAGCTGGCACCAGTTATATCAGAAGCACCACCCGTAGCATCTGGTTTAACCTTTTGCTACCAGGACAATGCTCCTTCTGGGAAAGTACCCTCTGTATCCTCAGAAGTACTTCGAGTTAAGCCTCACAAACCAACAGCTGTGTTGTCCTGTGAACGGCCACATTCGTCCTTTTTAGAGTCCGAACTAAAGGACAAAAGAGAGCGGGATTTTGAGATACAAGTAATATCACATGAAAAGAGGAATACTCTAAAAAAGGCTGGACTGACTGAAGAGTCCTCGGACCAGCTCTCACCTACTTTTGGTTCAGTGTCGCCCTTCAGGTCTTCCTCTGTTCACCAGCAGGTTAAAAGTGAGATAGTGAACACAAAAGAAATAAGAAGACCTTCCCCAGGTGCTGGATCCTTCCATTTCTCCATCACCACTGCCAAAAACCAAGACAAGGAGAGACCCAAATCAGGCAGTTTTGTGGGAGCATTGGAACACGCTGAACCCAGGCCAAAGACAATGGAGAGAACAGAGGATAAAATATTTTCAAGTATAAAGGAAAAGGTGGAACTCAGAGAGTCGCAGCCCAGAGGGGGCCCCTTTGTTATGGGAGGACTTAGACAAGAGGGTTCTCCACCAAAAAGCTCAGTCCTACTGTGGGACAGGAGAGACAGCCTCAAAAAGTTAGAATCAGTGACAACATCTACAGATACCGGCAGTGCGGTGGGGAAGGAGGCAGAGAGCAGCCAGGAAGTGGTGGAAGAGGCAGTGGAAGCACAGGAGGTCCAGGAGACTGACAGAAAAACAACATTTGGTATTAAATTACGCTCCACCTCTCAGTCGATGAGACTTAAATCTGATGCTTCTTCTAACCATCACTTAAAGCCACCCGTGTGTGACGAGCAGTGTGACAAACAAAAAGGACAGGAAATAAATGATCATGGCATCTACATGTCTAAAAAACTACCAGGCAACTTCTCTTACACATCATCCACCTCTGGAGATGTCCGACTGACGGGTGAGTTCCTGAGAAATCTTACTCATTTCAGTCTGTACAAGATATTTCATGGTCCACTTCTCAATGAAGAAATACTGTGCTACCAGCCAAGGTTTAGAATTGCAAACTACAGCCTTATTTTTCAGTTCAGCCTAAAGTTAAATATTGCACAGCTACACACTGTCATGTCTGTGTAAGGAGAAAAATTTCACATAGTAAATAATCTCTTTCGAGTGATAAGATTTTGACTGATCACAAGCATTTCACATAGTGAATCATCTCTTTAGAGTGATAAGATTTTGACTGATCACAAGGGACCTTTGTACTTATTAAAATGCCACCCAGCTTTAACAGTGCTGCCAAGTGCGTCTAACAGATTTGTGCCACTCCTTAGATCCAGCCCCACCTGGCCTCTCCCTTCCAATCAAGACTAACCTGCCATCTACCGATGATCCTCACATCATGTCGACAGAAGTCAAAACAACCCCCTCAATCCCCAGAGAACCAGAAACTGTCAGAGCACCTCAGGAGCCCCAACCTGCCCCCCAGGCAACCTCCTCTGAGGTGTCCTGGATGAGGCTGGCAATAGAAAAGACCAGAAGCCTGCAGCAGCTCTTTACTAGCAGATTGCCCAGAGATTTTACAGGCATGCACACCATGGCACGACCACAAGCACAAGTGCAGCCAAAGCATCAAAATGAAACACAGATTGGAGCACAAACGCAGACACAGACTGTACAAATGCAGCCAAACACAACACCAGCAAATAAACACTTGACTGACTTGGTGAAAACAGAAGCAGTGGAAAGCAGAATTCAAGCACAGGCCATCAAACCATCACAAAGAGCAATGCTACCGAAGCTGTCGACAACATCTACTGGAGTGTCAAACACTTCTACAGAACCACAAATGTTAAAACAAACAAATGAACCTCAATTACACCTAATTACAACTCAGTCTGCATCACCGCCAAGGGGGTTTGTGGTACATCCACCTGTACAGACCACCACATGGACAACCCAATCTCCTTCATGCTTTTCTACACTAACAGAGACCTCGTCTCAGTTTGCCCAAGGGAGTGCCACTCCTGCGCAATCTCACCTCTCCTCAGGCCAATACGACACACCCCAACAACCTCCTTGGAGTAATCGAGGTCTCCACCGCACCAGCCAGCTCAAATCCACAGCTTCAGTTTCTACTGTCTTGTCAGCCACAGCTCCTTCTCCACTGTCTGCCTCGGGAACGGGTGAAAGAGAAGCCACCATGCCGGAAAAAGGGGGTTCATCACTGTCAGCAGGGTGGGCAGTGTGGGTTGGGTCGGTCAGCGAGAGGGCTGCTTTGTTGGAGAAACAGACAGAGTGGACCAATCCATTTGGAGCCAAGGGGGTTTGTGGTACTTTTTTTGTAACTCTCTTTCATACCATGTAGCTATAGATGAAATAAAGGATATTTTTCTCCTGGTCACCAAATCCTCTCAATACTTTCTGACATCCCTGCCCTGTCTTTGGAACTCATTCATTCCCGCTGAAGATGAAAATCTTTAAAAATAGGTCACCAGTATTTAAAAAAAAAAAGTGATTTTCTTAAACAATTCATATTTTTTAAGTAAACCCTATTCAAACAGAAATTTTTTAAAACTGCATTATTTGGAACTACTTCTAGCTGCAGATATAGTGTCCTAATAAGTGTTTATGACAGCAGGATGGTCTTTGTTAACTAATAAAATGTAGAACTACTGTGTTTTAAAAATAACTATGTATCCTGAGTAGATGATATAATATTAACTATTTTTCTCAGGTGGAGCTGAAGAAAGCTCAAACAGAAGTGCAGACACCAGGTGAATCCCTTGCCTCAGCAAGGATGATGCCTCTGCACAAAGACACAAAACTGGATGGAAGACAAGGGGTAAAAGTTGCAGGTGGGTTTACATACATGAATTATAATAATCAAAATCAGAATAACTGTAAAAATTACTGGCATTCAGTGTATCCAACTGCAACATCATGACATAAGGTTTTCTTTCAGAGTCGAGCCCCATCAAAGTGCAAGTTGGGCCTTGTGAGGATAAATGGCCAAGGAAAAATGTATCATCTTCACCTTCACTGTCACCCACACAGCCATCAGTGTTGCAGTGCATGTCTGACAGTGGCCAGCCATCCTGGATGGAACTTGCCAAAAGGAAAGCGAAGGCTTGGAGTGACAAGTCCATGGACTAAGAAGGAAAATAGATAAGATATGCAAGGTATGAAAGCAAGAATATGAACAGCTCTGCAGATAGCCACCACCTTTGTCAAGGAAAATGAGTTGAATGTTTGAATGTGAGCATGTCAGAAAGATGTTGATTTGACTCTAGGATAATTTAAAAGACTGTTGTGTTTGAACTGTATTTAATTGTAAAGGGATAATGTTGTACTGAAAGGCTGCATGAAAGAGAAAACATATAAACATTAAATCCCTCTCCATCACAACCACTTCAGATAAAGGGTATTTCCAAACTGTGTGATTCAACATTTCATTGCTGTGAATACCTATGTTCAATAATAAAATTTCTAACATTAAGTGCCATTTATAAAGTGCTTTATGAAAAGATGGCTGATTTAAAATGCAGGAACAGATGTGGATGAAAATTTAAGTTTTTTTTTTTTTTTTTTTGGGATAATGTATTACACGATGATAATCCATGTTTTATGGAAAAACAAGAAATTATGTTTAAAATGTAGCAGCAACAAACAGACAGACAAAAAAGATTATACATACATATTTTGTATACGAATGTACAGACATGCAGCATAATGGAAAATCCACTTGCTCACTAATTTAGCCTACAGTGCCACCTGCAGGCATGATGGATAGATCATGGGCTGCCCTTTTTGCTCACATCCATAAGGTAATTGAGTAGAAGGTTAGGTTATACTTCCATCCATCCATCTTTTATCTATACCACTTACCCTAATGAGGGTCGTGGGGTGGCTGGAGCCAATCCCAGCTGACATTGTGTGAGAAGCAGGGTCCACCCTGGACAGGTCGCCAGTCTCACAGGGCTGACACTTAGAGACAGATGACCACACCCACTCACACTCACTCCTAGGGTCAATTTATTGTCACCAATCAACCTAAGCGGCATATCAGCTGGGGATAAATGGTATAGATAATGAATGGATGGTACCTAAACATAACTGAGATTGAAATCAGCTGTTATTAGCTAGACTGTGTGGTTGTCTAACTCTCACCTCCAAGTCCATTTAGTAGATTTTTGAGGGTGTAATAATATTACATTACCTTCATTAGTAGATGGAATTTTAGATGTTCATGTTTTGAGCACAATGAGAATGTCTTGTTGAACTGGTTAATTCATCCGAGAATCATGTGTTATGATTGAAAGCCCCAGAACAGCTCCAAAATAGAATGTAAAATGCTGCAGTTTGGTACAGTTTTAGTTTCACAAAATCACTGGGTTTTAGTACAATAAGAATTTATTGGAATTTTTACTTTGAACATAGTCTCTCTCTCTCTCCCCCTCTCCATATTTGTTATCAAAAATAACCTCAACAACTTACATTTATACATGAGAACTCTTACTGTCATCTGACAAGATATTTCCTAAAGGTTTATCTAATGGTAGGGTTGTGACTGAATTGTTTTTTAGGGAGTTGCTGATGTATGGAGACCCCTGATAGAGCAGGTCATGCGTGCAGATAACATGTACATTAATGCAGCTGAGCACATAATGCCTAGATGGCATACTTTTGTGGAAAACAAAGGTTGGTCACGGCAGGGGCCAGTTATTTAGCTCTGCTCACTGACAGCCAGCACTTCACAGATGTGGTTGCAACTTAGTCTCATATTTTCAGCCCGTTTTGTTTACTTGCTATTATAAAATCGTAAAGAATTTTAGGATTGTATGTCTGATGTAATATTTAGAATTTATTAATGCTGCTCAGTCCATGGCTGGATTAATCATGGGCTCTGGTCTGCAAATTTGTTGTTGGGCCCCCTACTGAATACAATACATGGGAGTTTCATTATTTCCCCAGGCAACCAGAGACAACGGTATGCTGAAGTTCAAATGATAACAATTAATCTAAATTGTTGGAATAGAAAATGATAAAAACGGACACTAATTTAGACTTCAGAGGAACATTGTATACACATGTAACCGACAGGTTGGCCACGCCTACACCGCCTGGTTAGTAATTTGTCAGATGGATATAAATAACACCTGAGGAGATGCTGTTGCGATAAGCAATTTCTGTGCTGGTCGCTGCTGTAACTGGTCTGAAGTGAATCCCCCTCCATCGATCTGTGTCCTGCTTTTCCTTTAGGACTGTTTCTAGGGGATTACTGCATGCTCTTCGGGAGTGATAATCAATGCAAACGTGATCCAGCAGAAGTTGGTGTCCATCGCACAGGCTGTGCCAGGGTGACGTGTAGCCAATGGGTGATAGCCACTGCTGTTTTGCTTATGTAATGTTTTGCCTTGTTTGCTTTTATTTTAAGAGGTTTACCTAGCATTATGTTCCCTATTTATTGTATTGTTTCCAAATAGGGTTTAGTCAATTTTATGGTGTGAACAGCATGTGAATGGTTTTATGCACAGGGAGGCAAGGTCCTCTTATATTTGGTTGGTTGATGTGTGATTAATTGATTTGTGGTGTTTATTTAATGGTGCCTTTTAAACTGTTGACTCTGACCATTTTATTCCTGTTCTGCACTATATTTATTGAGTGGGGGGGGAAAACTTCTTCTTATAGGTAGCATTTTAGCTTCTGGGGTTAGGTTTCTTAAAATATTTTCACTGTTAAATTATACACCGACTCAAATAAAGTTTTATTTGTGTGAGTAACTCCAATGTCTCCGTGTTTGCAGATCTATCTGGGGGTAGCAGCTCAGTACTGGTGAAGTTTGCATGAATTTGACGTCTGAAAACAGGAGGGGTGTTATTCTTGGAGAACTACTAAAAGTTACTATGGTCTGAGTTGCATAGGCCTGTATATTGGCCCGGTCACAATTT